CTCTTTATCTTGATGTAGACACTCAGACCTGGCTTACTGCCATTTGCCCACTCTCCCTGCCTATCTTCTGGGATAGCTATCAGTAACTTGAGTGTGAAAAACCTACACAACCTTTTCTCAATTAAGTGCCAAAGCCTCATTTTTGTTTTCTCCCCTGGGAACCTTGCAAGGGTGTTCCACTATCCAAACCAAAACTCCTACAATATGAAATTTTCTGGAAGAGCTCTAGTGGACTGACATCAGCCTGCCTATAGTTAACCCTAGTACTAGACTAAATTCCTTCCCAGTCATCAGTTGTTCCAAAAAAGTTTACCCTTCAAACATGAAAACAAGGTTCAGGTGAGCGTAGAGATGTGTGATCAAAAGCAAACTTCTGGCAAATCAGTAGCCAGAAGTTGCAGGACGAAGTCTGTGGACGAAGGTCAATCATACTTTCTTCCACAGTAAGTGAAAAGTGGATACTTATAGCGTGGAAGGATGGACACCCACCATTTATCATTCAATGGACTAAAGATCTTTCTGTTTTTGCTACATCTGAATGTATGTCATCTCCTGTATCCATCAATCTCATATGGCTCCTTGTTCAGATATATGAACTGCCTTATTATCATATATATTTCAAATGCAAGTGTTAAATCTTTTTTTTCTCTTTTCATTTTCTGTTTATAAAGGGTGATGTAAATTATTATTAAATATACCTGTACTTTATAATATGTCCTTTTCTTTCCTTTCCCTCTATTTGCTAGTTTCCTCTTGTTGTCATTGTTATTACTGTCACAGCTTTATTTGCAAATTAAACATAAAAAACCCAGAATTTTTTCCACATAGCTGAGTCTCTAAGGTTGTTCCACCTACACCAGTGTTCCAATATCTGAATTGTCCCCTAAAATACTTAATTGCCACTGCTTTCATTGAAAAGGGGAGTCTACTTTGAAATTAAAGATGTTAATCATTCTGTTGCTATAGGCAACATTAGCATTACATGAAACCCTTCCGGTTCCCTGCCTACATGAGGCCTAGAAAATTCCATGCTGAGGACTCACTCTTTTGTAATATATAATTCTTTGCTGTAGGAATGGGGCTGCATGTATCAATGGTCTCTGTGTGTGTGTGTTCGATATCAATGAAGCCTATGCATTTCTGCCAGGGAAGCTACTAGGAGGGGAAGCAAGTAACATGATCAGAGCCCAGCTTATTAACTGGCTCCATTTCAAAATACTCAGTGAGACTGCATTATCATCTCTCTTGTACGATGCCAAAGGCATGCCTCGTGTCCTTGAGAATGAAATTGTCCCCATGCAGCCGAGTGAAGCATTACTCTGTTAATACAGTGTGACACAAGAGGAATAACCAGCTGAAACAACTGCCAATGTTGTTCACTGCAAATCGTAACAGGATTTATGGTCATGCTAGCTGGGGATGATGGGAGATGCTGCCTGACACATCTGGGGAAGGCTGATGTAAAAGTAGCAGTAGTACAGTAGATGCAGTCCTTCATTTGAAGCACAGTCAGAAGATGGTCTCTTTTCTGCTTAAATTACAGTCATAATTTCTAGATTTGCTTCATGATGAAGATCAGTGTTGTAATATTTTTCTCTTCTTTGGTGATACATTCGTTGTCACTTCATGCCAAACAGGAAACTAAGTGGAATTTATGAGTGACCCACTCTTGCTGGAAGGCAAGGAGCAGCATTTGGGGCTCTTCAGTCTTGCAGGGACCCCAAATAGGCATCCTGCTGGCAAAAACAGGAAGAAGCAATTTCTTGGTCCCTAGCCTGCTGACATTCTTTCTCCTTTAGCTTGAAGAGACAAATTTGCACTTGGTTTTGAAATAGGGCCACCCACAAAATGAATCCCTAAAGTTTTTTTTTTTAATTTCCCTCTTTCTCCAAACAAAAATGCTATTTTCTTCTGCACATTCATTCAGTCTTTCCCCCCATTCCTATACTGACCAATAAGCTCTTGGGATGACTTGCAAGGTGAAAAACCTTAAAAATACAGTATTGGAAATGATATAGAGAACAAACCCATATAGGGACAACACACAGATGCTCACAAACACACTCACCATGTTGACAATCAGAAATCCCAAGTTAAAAGCCAATAAAAAAGTTAAGAGCACCCTTTACATAAAGGGACAAGATGCTTTCCAACCCAAGATTTCGTGCACAGACTTGCAGCTGAATCCCATGGCAGAAGCCACGGGGATCACATCCTCTACTGAAACTAAAGGTTGAAGCTAGCTTAGACCTTGAGTCACCTACAGCTCTGTCCTCTTAATACCTCACCAAAATCCCCCAGTGTCTGCTGCCCAAGGCAGTTGCCCTACTCTTCTTAACTGGCCCTGTGGCTGGTAGACATGATATTTAACTGTAAGTGCAGCTCAATTTATTCTTAGGGCACAAGAAGAAAAACGAGGGTGAAAGGTTTTCAAGTTTGCACCCACTTAAGTGATTCCATGCTTGCAATATACTACTTAGTGTTCAGAGACTGGAGATAAGATACAAAACTAATGAACCCAGTAAGAACAGAAAGTACCTGGGGATAAGGAGTCAAGAAAGCAGTCAAAAATGGGCTATACGACCTGCTCACAGAACCGTAGCAGCATTCTCCAAAGAAAAATGTTTAAGGACAATTGCTTACTATGCTCCTGACAAGTTTTTTTCCGAATTTGCAGAATCAGTTTGATGGTTTCCTTCCCTCCCCATTCCCCCACCCCATTGCAACTTCCAGCTTTCAAGGTTAATTTAGTTCCTTTTGATCTTTTGGGCATCATTCACCACCTTGATAAACACAGTGCCGGAATTACCTTTCAGTTAATGTGAGCTACTTTGCCGACTGTGTGGGAAAAATGCATGCAGGGCATTTTTGCGTAGAAAAGGGAGTCCAGAGAATTTCTGGCACACTTCCAGTTCCTTAGAGAGTACATTTATTCATTTGTTAAGCAGGCAAACAATATGCTAGGGCAATCAGCAAAAAACGTATTTGCTACAATCTGAAATGCAGAATTCTCATTTGCTACACACACATATCTAAGTGCATATTAATGTTCCTTATAATTAGCTTTCAACAAACACTTACACCTACAGTGTGCTGACCCATTTAGTCCCAATCAGCCATGCCAACTGCTGCCGAACACCAGTATTTCCCTTCACAGACTCAAGTTATTTGACTCCCTGCTATGAAGCCTTATTCTAGCTAGTAATGTTGCCCATCTGATGGTACTTGTCACTTCTCAGGTTCTTCCCTCTTTTCGGATATATTCCACCATGACCTTCCATTTTCTCACACTCCACTCTTGCTCCAAAATCCAGGCCTCCATTTTTTAGTGTGCAGGCCAAAGCTTCCTTCTAGGCCAAAATGGTCGTTCCATCAGCTGTTCTCCACTACTACTCTCCCTCTCCTCTATGAAAAGGCAGACTTCAGGAGCTGGGTGTGATTTATAAGTTATGTTTTAATCGATCTGATGGCAGTTCACTTACAAGCACAGCTTCTTTCTCTATGTGATCACTTGCTAGCTACGTCTATGATCATGGTGGCTTGGAAAAGCTGAGTTTCAGAACACACCCTCTGGAAGCTACCACTCAGGCCTCCCAAGAAGACCATCACAGCAACAAGAAGACCAGAATGGACATCAGAGACTGTCCCAAACACATTTACAAGTTAAAAAAAATATTGTCCAAGTGCACACATTCAAATATCCATTGCAATTAAATGGTGTGATTCCCACCCACCACCCCCAGCCACTACTATGCCATGAAATCTGCATGTATTTCCTAATCCATCTTGTCTGTTTTGAAATTTGCATGTGTTTACAGATTGCCATCACTGCTCATAGCCCAGATGCATATCTGACAGCTAAAATGGAGGCCAATCAAGGGAAGCAACAAGCATGGAGAGGTGGGGGGAAGCCAAAGTGACTGGAAGCTGAAGGAGCTTTTGGAAAGGATGCAATTACTTTGGTAGTGTGAAAAACAACCCATTTTAAGGTGTTCATTAGCAATACAAAAAGAGCAGTAGATAAAACTGACAAAGATATTGATATGCTCAGCTAAATAGCAGACAGGCTCCTGCACACATGTGCAAGACCCTGAATTTTTAAAAAATATTCGTAAGGGCTCCAAATTAAATGCATTAGGGAATCTGATTTTTTCTGTGGGGGGGCACATTTCCCTCATCAGCCAACAACCACAGCAAATTGCAGAAAGGGTGCTGAGACAGGGAATGAAAAAAATGCGGATTTCTGCTTCAAAGGCACCTGGGGTGAGTGTCAGAGATGGGCAGGAGGGAGAAGAAAGTCAAAGCTGCTGAATGTCCAAACAAGCCACCAACTCACTACCATTTATTCTCAGGGTGGCTTGATGCAGTCTCCCTCCCATGTTTCCCCAACACTTCTGCATTTTTTTCTTCTGGTAGAAAATTGAGTACGAAAAACAGGATAGCTGCACAATGCCTTCTGTTGGGGCCAGGACTCCTCCGCCTGGAAGGAGGAGCCCCCCCCCCCAGGTTTATAAGTGGACAATGTTAAATCTATATCCCTTTGGAATGGTAAAATAAGTTTGAGAAAGAGCCTGTGTTTCCTTTCTGAACAGGGACCTCTTTGATCTTCCTCATGCTGAGTAGTTCACAATCTCATTTAGTTAAATTCAATAACATAACCACAGTTTGTGCACCCAGCTATCAGGGATGGCATTAGGTCATGCAAGAAAGAAGTGGGGCAGGCAGCCCTCCACCTCACAAAGGGAGCTGAGTAGATAAGCATCTGCCTTGAATGCTTTGGAAACAGGATATCCTTTCTTAGGGCCCAGTGTAAGACTGGGTAATCCATTCATTGAGGCTTTTTCCAACATCCATATGTTTGGGGTCTCTGTAATGTTCTAGATTAAAGGATAGTCATTTATAATAATATGAGGAGAAATACCATTAAGAAAGTTTAAGACTGAGAAAATCATTTTTAATTTTCTGGAGAACAGAAGATGAAAAGCAAAATAAACAGAAAATAATTTCACAGTCATTTAATCATGGCATTAAAATATCAGCTATACTAAAAACAGCTGTTGCACACAGCAACTTCAGATCAGCTCCTTGATGAAGCTTTACATTGTTAATCCTGCTACATGTTTTGTAGCAACACACAATCCATTCTTGGTTACAGAACACACTGAACTTCCAAACATTTTTCCACCAAAGGAAACTCTGCAGCAGGGGTTTCTCTTTTGAAATCAATATACTCAGTGTGATCACAATCCCAGCAATTCTTTCTGTCTTTTGAGATGCAACAGAAAACTTTGCCAGAGTAACATTTTACATTTTCAGTCCATGGCAGGCAGAATTTATACTCCTATGTTAGGGAAACCAGGTATAAATAGGCAGAAATGTATGTATAGATACAACTTTAGTAAATAAGTTCTTGGTGATATAAAAAGAATGAAATCGTTGGCAAATAAATTTAATGCACTCTGCCAGCTATACAGATATTAAAAATATAATTGCAAGAATTTTATTTTTGACAAGCTTTTGTTCAAACTTTCATTGCACAACTACAGATGTGGATTTTAAAAGTTTTAGGAGTTAAACTCTGTGTTTCTGCTGTCATGTTGCACTCCATCTGACTTTTTGCCTCTCAGTAAAACTGTACCTAAATGTACACTATTCCTAATCATCACTTTCTTCTTCATCAAATGAAAGCAAGCTGCTATTTTTCACTTGCTTAGTTGTATTCTGGGAGGCTGGAGAATTTCTCTTTGTCTCTTTTTTCTTCTTACTTGATGTGGCCGTCAAACCAGAATACTTCTCATCTGACAACCGCTTTGAAGGTTTCCGGAACACTATCTTCCCATCTCCAGGATCAGCATCTAAGAGCAAAATCCAAAAATCCAAATCACTTTCCCACGTATCTTTTCCCCAACATATAGTAGTCCTGGAAGATAACTCTAGAATGTCAGTGTGGCATTTTGGTTAGAGTGTTGGACAGGGACTCAAGGTCCGAATGCTATCCCCCACTCAGCCAGGGAGCTCACTGGGTGATTTTGGGCCAGTTCCAGACTCTCAGCCTAACTTATTTCACAGGTTACCAGAATGATAAAATGGAGGAGGAGGAGGAACATGGCCCTTGCCTTGGGCTCCTTGGTGGAAAACACAATATATAAATGCAATATCAATACATAAATATCCTGGGAAGACCACAATTCAGTGCACAAAACAAGCTCTGCACACAAAAATATCCTAGGTTCAATCATCAACAACTCAAGACTCCTGCTTAAAACCCTCAAGAACTGCAGCCTGTCAGTGTAGAGAGCATTGAGCTATACCAAGGTATGACTTGGTATAAAAGCAGCTTAAGTAGGAAGTATTAATCCGTCTACATGTTACCTTACTGTAAAGCCATCACTGCGACTACCTGACTTTACTGTAATACATTGAAAGTCATAATTAGGTCAAGTTGTCTCCATTATTTGTTCCCATTGCAATATTTCTACAATTTCACAAATGCATGCCCTGGTCACCAGATTCCCAAGTGTGCAATGGTGGAAGAAAATTTGATGTCACCATTTTAAAAAAAATGGACAAAAGTTGCAAAGTATTTTGAAATCTAAATGTATCAGCTAAGCATACAGTAACTTGAATACTGTAAGTTAAATAAATATGAAACAAAAAATGTCCTTGAACTGGATAGTTTCCTTATTTTGCTAGGATATAAACCTTAATTTCAGTTATTTAGTGTTTCTTACCAATTCCTAGAATGCTACATTCTGCTTGTCACAATGGCCCAATTCTAATGTCACAGCCAAACTGTCTCTTCCTTCTTCCATTCCTGCTTCTGCTTGCCAACTGCATTCCTCACTTCCTGCTCTATTGTAACTATAATATGCAGTGATGCCCAAATCAGGCAAACCATGGTCACCACACACTGCAGTTTAGTACCACACTGAACTAGAAAACCAAATAAGCCCCTTTTGGCCTGCAATAAAATGAAGCTGATCTGTTTTAGATCTCATGGCAAGTTATGGTTACCATAAGGCATGAAAGAATGGAAGGAATCTGAGTACATGAAGAGAGAATAGAGGGTACAATCTAAGGCCTGTTTACAAAAGCCAAATCAGTTTAGTTAGGACATCTAAAACAGGCACCACATAGCAACAATGAACACGATCCACCAAGTATTCTTGCATAGCTGCTATTCATTTAAATGGCTCTGCATTGAAATACATGGTGTTGTAAGCTAAACAGTGAGTGATGGATTGCAGCTCTAGTACATAAGGTCATCATAATAAGATGTGAAGCTAATGTATGTTACAGATTTGCTTGGGGAAGTTATGGAGATAAACTCTTGAGTCTAGCAGTACTGGAGAAGAAGATTCGCTGCAAGATTGAAGCATCTCAAAACTGTTTTGCTTGATATGAAAGCTAATGTCATGAATCACAAGGAAAGCCTCATGCTGAAACATCTTGCAATTTAGATGATTTATAGATGACAGAACATTAAAGAATCTAAGCTTCTCCTGGGCAACACATTTTTCTTAACTAAGTAACAATGTTTTAAAAATCAATTTTGTAATAGAAACTTGCCAAAAACACTGTGGTTGATTGATCCTTATTTAATAACTTACTCTGTGCCCTTACACTGTCATTATCTTGAGATTTATAATAAACCCACAGCTGTGATGGAAAATGGTACCTTTTTCATCAAGACTGTCAAGAAATGCAGTGCAATGGCAGATTAAATATGAACAATGTCGGAAGAATACTGAAGCACAGCCTTCTCCAAACAGGTGCTTCTAAATGGCTTGTACTACAACTCCCAGAATCTAATGTATCTGAAAAACATCAGGTTGGAGAAGGTTGATGAAGAGCATAGTCCAGTCGTGATAGTGACATTTTTTTTCCAATTCCATTTGCTTAATGCAGCTAAAGTTTCTACGAATTCAAAATTCAGACCTCAGCAAAGCCAACAGACTGCTCCACATTACTGCTCTGTGCCATTGCCTTTCTACTGCAGAGCAGGAAGCCAAACTGACCTGGTGTTACTTCTCTTTGCCTTCCCATCCAAAGTCCTATGTTTTCCACAGCAGCCTCCTGCTCACATTTCAGCCCAGCCTCCCCACCACATGCACACCCTTTGAAGCTATCACTGCTTCCAACAAAATTAATAGCTGGTGCAAGGAGGAAGCAATGATTCTCCCAGTGCTACCAGGAAGCGGGTGGTTTGCAGCATGAGAGATAGGAAGAGCAGGTGAGGATTAGAAAGGTGATTCAAAAGAAACAAAGCTCGTGGGCAGAGAAGATACAAGAACAGCTGGGCTTCAATGACTGAAAGGGTTATGCATCACTTTGGATGATGACATTTCACATCAGCTGTACAATATTATGTTTATTAAAGCAGCACTAAGAGATGATCTAGAAACAAGAAGAGCTAGTCCAAGAGTGGTTCTAAACATCTTTAATGAAACATTCCTCATAACTGGGCTCTTACATTTCCCTACAAAGAAAAACAGCTGCCAGCAGTCAGAGGCCAGGAAAGAAGATGCTGAGTCATGGAGACCTTTCAGTCAGAAACACCAACCAATTTTGGGGAGCCCTTGACTCACTTCACATTGTCAGTAGTGGAGAGCAAAGGAATAAGTCAACTTATTCCTACAGGTAAAGTCTTATGCAAGCAGTTTGCCAAAAGAATGAACAAGAAAAGGCAGGCTCCTAAATCAGCTCAGCAAACATGATGAAGGAATGCAACTTTGATTTGTGATTGCAGAAAAAGATACCTTTCCTTCAGGCAGGAACAAAATACCTCACACCCTTTCTCAATCACATGGAGAATGATGAATTTCTACTGCATCCTATGCTTGGGCCAGTGACCTCCAGAAACTGATGAGCTACCTACCCTTGAAAAGTACAGGGAGGAATTTATAAATGAAACAAACACTGTGTTTGAAACTTGACAAAAGCCAATGCCAGCATTTGGAAGGGAAAATTGTTAGAGAAAGTCAGCCCGCAGCTGTAAATGACATTGAACTCAATGGTTAGGGGTTTCTTCCAAGAAAGAAGCTAATTTTAGTTCATAGTATAATAAAACACAGTAATAACAACACTGGAACTGTAACATGAGTAGGTCAGTAAAAGTAAAGAAAGCCCGAAGAAATTGCACTGGGGCCTTCACTGCATGAAGATGTGTGGGCATGCTCAGATGATCATCTATCACTAAGCTGGGCTCCAGATGGTCTTAAATCAGAGGCCTACACTTACCCATGCCCAGTGGTGATTCCATGTGTATACTCTCACACTTTCCTCAGGGCTTATCTTTTGGAAGGTGTCCACAGAACTACCAAACTAATGTTCAAATGACTTTGAGTTAAAAACAAAACACACAAACAATTGGGGATAGAATAAAAATAGATTTTTTAAAACTGAAAATTGGGGTGGAGGAGTGGTACATGTCCCCTTCAAAATGGAAATTCTCCCATCGGATCTCCCAGTTGCTTTTTAGTGAAGAGTTCAGGAGTTGGGTGGAAACACCTCTTGTAGTTGTCCTTCATTGGCAAAAACATAAATAACAGATGATACATAAAATAACTCTGGGTTCTAGATAGAATCATTCAAAATGTTTAGGAAATCTCCATTTTAATGATGAAGAAAGGTATTTCAAAAGGAATTTCAATAAAGCCATGTTTTAAAATAATATATGAAGAAAAGAGTTATACACAGAGATAATTTTTCCCCAGTTTTGTTATTTTGTATACGTGGCATTTTCACACAAAGGAGATGGAGCAAAATTCAACATAAATCCTACTTAAAGTAGACCTGATGAGATGAAATGAACTTAAGTTAGTGATTACTCACAGAAATAACTAACTCAAGTGCAAGTCATTTCAACAGGGTCACTTTAAGCAGGATTTACTCTGGATTTTACCCATATGCATTTTTTGTTTATAAAACCAAAAACCTATTAAGGGCCAGATGTAACTATAACATTTTACCCCATGCAGATATGCAGAGACTCACAGTCAATATTGGCTCCCTGGAGCATGTACTGGTATAGAAAACATGCATCTGTTATATGCACACACATACACATTGTATTTTAAGGGTATGAATGAAAAACCTAGTGAGAAGCTGCCCTTCTAGCTGGGTTTTCAAATATGGAAGCTGAGAGATTGCAAAGGGGATGAAGCTTATACAATACTCTGATTCCAGAAAACACAGACTGGAGAAACAATTCAATATTTCACTTTTACGAGAAAGCACCATACAAACAACAGCTGCTGCATATTGGGCTTGTTTTGCTTTTTACATAACAAGTAGTTATTTCAGAAGGAAGAAATCAAGCCATGCATGATTGTGAGCTCATGGTGGCAACCTTCACTCTATCATTTTTTGCCTTTTGCCTGTATCACCAGCACATGGATATCTAGCCACACTTTTCGAATGATTTCACACCAATGTTTCTACTGACATGGCTTCCCTCAGTTCTTAAACCACTTCCCTCATCTACCTAAAGGTATCTAAAATTAAAAACATCAACAGTTGTTGAAATAAGGAGAACTGACAACCAGTCTATTTTTCCTGAGAGTTGAAAGTCAAGTTGTATACAAGGTTATGAAAATAATTGCAACTCACCAAATCTGACTATCAGCTAAACATCAGCATAACCTCTTAAAGTGCCAGAGCAGCACTTTGGGACATAAAAAGCATACTCTGATGTCCTGGCATATAGTATGTGGCATATAGCTTTTTAAAAAGCCCACAAAACAAACCAGAGAGGGATGACAGGGGAAGAAAGGAAGCAAATTGTACAAATTGAACAAGACCAGAATTATGTTACCGTTTGAATGAGTAAGGACACTTGCTGCCAAGATTTTGGACTTGTGCATACATTACAAAGTCCTAGAGGCCAGATGCACCAGAAAAGCAGCAGAAAAATCAATTCCAGAGATTATAATGAATACATGAAAAAGGCATTACACACCTATTACCATTTTCTGCTTCTATGAAATTTTATCTGGTAAAAATACCTTTGACAGGACACTAATTCTCTCTAGCATTCAAATGGAAGCTTGAAAAATGTGCGTGAACATATATCTGCGTATTTATTTTTAGAAACTAGTTTAGCTCCCACCAGTAAATTCATGCTAAAAGAAAATATTATTTAAGGAGGCAATTCTATGCATGTGTAGACTGAAAAAAGTCCTCCAACTTGCAGCATCCATAAGTTTGGTATGCTGACAGGGGAGTGATGTGAGCTGTAGGATGTTTTTTCTGTCTAAATATGTGTATGGATTGCACCGTCAAGATTTTGACTACAGTTCTCTTGGGTGGCACAAAGGTGTGGCTCAAAAGATGACAAAAGTGGGCCAAACAGAGGTATGACTCAGTTCTTGATTGCTGTGTACCTTCTTTGCTATATATCTATCGTGTTATATATCCTGATACAATGAGCTATCTTAGTCAGAATCAGAACATTTGCATGTTTGCCTCTCCCAGTGCCTTTTCCCATCCATCACTCTTTCTGTTAGTGACCACCCATGCCCATTCCACTGCTTGTGCCTAAAGGGGTGGGAAGAAGAAAGAGCGTGCACAGAAATCGTCTGCGGATTTCTCCACTGGCAGCACCTGCAACATCAATGGGAGAAAGGCAGCCCATGCAATGGCAGCCAAAGGAATGAGTGGGATGTGATGGCAATAAGGGAAGCGCCCTGCATTGAGAAGAGATGGGATAAGAAAGACAGGCAAGCAAAAAGCCGATAGGTCTTTTGCCCAAAGTCACTGACAAAGCAGGAGGCTGCCTTACTTAGTCATTTTCCCTCATAAGGAACACAATGTCCTAGATGGGACCTCTTAAGAAAATATGACCGTGTTCACTCCCCACCTCTTTCTCTTTGTACACCAGCCACCTTGGGGAGTAAATTAGCATTTGAAAATGTACCTGTGTCTTTGGAACTCTCTTTAATCTCCTTTTTGATCTTCATCACTTCTTCTGCAGTCAGATCCCCCTTTTTCAATACGACCACCTCTGGCTGTTCATCCTCCTTGTCACTCCTATCATCATCATCATCATCACCAGGAGCTGGGAGCTGCTCTCTCTAGAAGAAATAGGAAGAGTCAAGCCAGTAAGATGGTCATCCCAGAAATAATCTTTAAATAAGATGGTTAATAGCCCTATATTAGTATCTGACTGGTTTGTTTTAACTAAGGAAAAGAACTTAAATTGTCAAACTCAACAGAGCATAAAATTAGAAAATTTCAGAAGAAAGGCTGGGCTGAAACAATTCTCCTAATCTTCTATATGCAAAGAGGATGTGCACATTCAAAGAAGAGCTATATCGCCCAATTCCACATCTCATTGAACCTGGCTTCAGGGAGCTCTCGTTTGGGGCAAAATGAGTACTTAATCATGTGCTGTGCCCAGTAAGGAAACAACACCTTGTTAACAGAAGGAAAATGAAGCTTTCCAACAGCAACGATCAATGCAGTCTAATATTAGTTGCCCTTGTACTCAAGTTCCACTTTAGCCCACACCTAAGAGAAAAGAAAGGTTCTTTGGACTTTCTTTCCCCACCCCAGAAACAAAGAACTTATCCAAATGTTTTCAAAAATCTTAAAACAACTTAATACATGTAAGCATACAGACTTTCAGGAGACAATGCATCTGAATGTCGAAATATAACAAGTTTGTTTAGGAAAAATGAGAAACATGGGGTGGGGGAACAGACACAGAAGGCAACTATTATACACACACACCAAATTCCAAAGAAAAATAAAAAAATAAGTCACATGCCCTACTTTGTAGTCTTGGATCCTAGAGCTTAGTGTAGGATGCAGGGAGCATCTGGTTTACATTTAAGTGGTACATAGGAAAACTCTAGCAAGAGTGAAGGAATTATTTTTGTGGGGATGTAAAAGCCAAGGCTAATGGGATAGCCTCTGTTTCTGAAGGCAAGAGTCTAGCCTGCACATCAGAAAATCTGCCCATGGCTGAACCCACCATCTTAATGACTATAATGTACAGTCAGTCTAACTGCTTGGAACCAGTCTATTTATTCAAGAAAGCAGTTTCAGGTTTTGTTCACATTTTGGACAACAAAAAAGTTAGATACAGCTAAATACAATTTTTCAAATTGCTCAATGGAAAGCACAGTGAATCTGTATCAGAAGCAGTAGTTTGTCACTTCTGCTTCACTGGATTTGCTGAGATCAAATATAATAAAGACAGCACAATCCTACAAGTGGCTGCCGAGAAGCCAGTCTGTGAGTTCAATGGCTAACTCAGAGGAAATGTTTATATTAATAAATGGTTCAAAGAACTTTAGCTTGCAATCTTATGCTCAGTATAAGATTGCAGCTTAAGGCACTTTGAAACATTTGTGCAACCCCTTTAACTGTCTAACCCTAACCAATTTCCCTAGAACGTCTGATGGGTATTAATGCAATTTATTTCCAAGTAAGTATGTTTTGGATTGCAGCATTAACTGACAAACAGTAGACAAAGGTTAATCATACTTACGGTAGGTCCACTGAAAGTCATCACTAGCCTAAGTCCCATAGATTTCAATGAGTCTACTGTACATTGTACTACAGGTACTACAGGTACAGGATATTGTAATACTGTACTACAGGTGGATTCAACTTAAAGTGTGTAATCTTGTGCTTATAGCTGAACAGTCAAAAAATCATACATTTGACACAGTTTTAATTACCAGCCAGATGCAATCCTTCTAGAATTCATTCTACATCTGGGAATATGTTATATTTAAAGGCAGCTACATTTATAAAACAATTCAAATACTTGCAGTTTCCTATAAAGTGCAACTACTAATTAGTCAGCTTGCATCTAAAATACAACATAGCTTTTTATTTAGGAAAAACAACCCAATGTAAAGGTTTGTACTGCTTCTCATTTCTTGCATCCCTATTCAGGGCAAGCAGAATAGAAAGGCAATCCAACCACCATGACATGAAATACAGAAATACAAATTGTTTTCCATCACACTAAATAAAACTGTCAAGAGAGGTGTTGCTACTAAGAACAAATGGAAAGATGCTTCTTTCTCCCCTTTCTCATGTGTTGTTTTTCCCTTTTCACAAATTGTTAACTAGAATAAAATAGTAGAGTTGGAAGGGGCCTGTACGGACACCGAGGCCAACCCCCTGCTTGACTTCCACATGTGGTCACCCATCCAGCTACAGGCCCACACCGTTCCAGCTCAGCAAGGCTGACTTAACATGCTAGCTTGATGCATAGCTATGCAGGCAGCCATAATTTGGTGTGATTCTTGCCTAATCCAAGGGTAGCCAACCCCAGGCCTGTGGCCCAAACCTTGTCCTCCAGGGCTCACCAGATGTCTCTACCACTTCTCTTCAACCACTGATGATTTGATGCTTTCCAGGCTTCTGTGCAGTTTTGAAATGCCTCTTCTAAGCCTTACATATTGGAAGTAAAAGTTACAAGCTACAATATGCTAGTATTTTGGGGTCCGTTAGCCCTAGCCCACTCATCACTGGAATGCTGTCCCCAGGAGATTCCTCAAATTTTAATTTTACTGTTGCTTCCCACTCCTGGAATAACTCAAGCTTTCCTACTTGGAGACAGAATATACTATAGCAAAAATACCTAAGAAATCTCCAAGAAATAAGATTCAACAAACTTTATCAACAGCCCTGTTCAGGCCAAATGTAGACATTATATGCTCACCCAGGGCTGAACCTTTACATCCAATTCTCTGTACAGTGATTATATGCACAGGATCCTCAGCATAATCTGTATCCTGCATAAATGCCAGTCCAGACTATGCAGGAAGAGCCGATGCATATACAGTTTGTTCATGCGTAGGTGCTGGGAACTATCCCCCTCCACAAGGCCAATGTGCCCAGATCTGGTCAGCTGAACAGGCTAAAACCAATGGTGAATGAGAGAGATGAGAACATGTAGCCTCCAACATGCTTTTTTTCTTTCTTTTCCCTTTTTTTAAACAGCCCACAGGATATTATTAGACTCCTGCAAAATACAGTTTCCACTTACAAAAACAACAGCATGTAAAAACCACACCTTCTTAACCTCATGGCTATGAAAAGACATTTGAAAAACGTCACAAGGAACAGAATAAATACCAGGAGACAAGTAAGCTGGAAATCATTTTAAATAACCCAAACCTTATGCTTTTTTATTGCCATAAACCAGATTTCTTCCCTTAAAGAAGAAATCTTATATTTTTCAGTCAATAATTGCTATGAAAAGTATTTTAGGACAAGTGAGATTGCTCTCCGAATTGTGGTCTGGCAATCCCAGATATTCACAAATGCAACCAATCTAATTGCATAATTGGTGAATTAGTTGCAGTCATCCTCTCATGATTTAGTTCCGAAGCATCTTTGGAAGACTGACCAAACATTCTCAGGCTATCACAACAAATGGCTCTGATTCCAATACAGTGTAGTCCAGAACTTCATGATAAAATGCAGGGTTAAACAGGAATCAGGGGATATAGGAGTTTGCTAACTCAATCTGAATCAACTGTTTATAGTACAATTTAAGGAATAATCCGGTGATCCCAGACAATCTCAGAGCTGAGAATTAGAGCTCCAAACCCCTGCCCCCTTCTGGCCAGAGTGGAAAGAACAGCACTGGCAGTCCTCTAAGGACAGGAAAGTAACCTTGCTGCCAGAGGGAGGGATTTCAAGGGATGGGGAAGGGAAGAGACAGGAATAGAAAACAAGCTGTCTGGTGAAAATGGGAGTGAAGATCACCCCACCGCTCCTCCCTCTTTCTATTGGATGCCCATAAGCCTCCAGGTTCAGGAATTTACGGGCATCCTCATAGGACTACTATTACAGTGATTATTAATTTCACTGATATACTGCCCAATAACTAAAGCTCTTGGGGCAGTTTACAACACTTTATAACAACACATACTATAATACAACAAAAAGCTAAAATTTTTGGTATGCAAAGTTAAAAATATTTTTAATGCAACACTACACTTGTTAAATGGTATTAAATGTTAAATGCCTGGGAGAAGAGGGCAGTTTTGGGCTAAGAGAGGTGATCCATCAGGTATTGAGATTACAAGCCATGTAAGGCTTTCTATATTAAAACCAGCACCTTGAGTTGGGCTCAGAGGCGTATGAGCAGCCAATACACAGAGGCCAGAATGGTTTTACATGTTCAGAACTTCTGGTCCCAGTTATTAGTCTGGTTGCCACATCTTGCACAGTGTGGCAACTGGACAGTCTTCAAACATCTGGATGGTCTTCAAGGGCAGTCCCACATAGACTGCATTGCAGAGTGCATCTTTCCAAGCTGAGAGAAAGGAATCTTGAGGTTATGGTGGGCAGCTCAACAAAACTGTCAACCTAGTGTGCAGCTGCTATGAAAAAGCCAAACATCATGTTAGGAAAGGAAGTGAAAATAAAACTGCCTAGATATTATTCCCCTTATAAAAATCTTTAGTGTGACCACACTTAGAATACTTTGTATAGTTCTGGTCACCTTATCTGAAAAAAAGGCATTATTTTGTTGGAAAAAGTACAGAGAAGGACAACAAAAAATATCAAGGCATTGGAACAATTTCCCTATGAAGAATAGCTACAACAACTGGGATTGATTAGCTTAGAAAAATGACAAGTGGGGAAAATGCAAAAAATTATGCACAGTGTCAAGAAACTGGAGAGGGAGGGATTACTCACTCTTCCATAATATTAAAACCCGGGACATTTCATAGAGCTGACTGGTGGAAGATTTAAGATGGATAAAAGGAAGTACTTTTTCATACTTCCTTTCATACAGGAAGTAGTGATGGGCACCAGTTGGATAGCTTTTAAAAGGGATTGGACAAATTCATAAAGGAAAAGGCTATCAATGACTACTAGCCTTGTTGGCTATGAGCTACCTTGCTTATTATGGGCAGTATGCCTGCATGCATCAGTTGCTGAAGAGTCTGGGCAGATGGAACTCTTGTAACCTGCTTGAAGGACCCTGTGGACAGCTGGTTGGCCACTGCAGGAAAGGAGTGCAGGACTTGTTAGACTGTCGTCTGATCCAGCATGACTTTCCTTACATTCTGATCTAACTTGGAGGGTACCAGTACACAGATTACTGAAACCAGGCTATCTCTGTTCTAATACTGGCATACCTAGAAAACCATCCAAGCCTGGTAGAAGGCACTCCATGTGGCTAAGGCCATTGTAAGTCTCAAGTGAGAGATGACTTTCAGAGAGCCCACAAGCTACAAACCTGCCCTTTCAAGGGCAGGTTTGTCACACCCTCACCCAGAACAGGTTGAACACTCTCCATCTAGTGAGAACCAACACCCCACATTGGTCTGAACGTCAGTTTGTTAGCCCTCCTCCTATTTATTGTGAAGAGTCAAGCACTGATTTTACAACCACCACAGCCTCACCTGTTATAGATTCAATGAGGTATTATTAATTGCACGCTCACTTGTTAAAAGCTAACATCAATTTGACAAATACATTTGTATCAGCTAAGGGAACAAGAAGTTATACTCAGCACAGATACACCCTTACACTCAGGTGTCATGTTTTAAGGATGAAATTAATACATTCAACTCTAAATTTCAATTAATCATAATTATGGTTTGTTGAAACAAGCCAGCTTTATTGTCTTATTTCAATCAAGGCATAGTTCAAGCTAACCACCTTTTTGTCAGGTCTAGACAACTTGGCATGTCATGGATATTCATAAACAGAAGTAAAACCTTCCAGAGTCCTCCTCCAAGCTGTAGCAGAGGAGGAGAGGGAACAAGCCCAGAGAGAGATCATCCAACAGTTTACTGCAAGATCCAAACACAGCCAGGCCTTATTTGAAGTCACAGCTGAGTGAAGATTTGCACTCCACTTACTATCTTCTGCTGGGTCACAGATTAAGAACCAGAGCAAAGGTGATGTTAACTATATAAAGGTAAAGTTTAATCATGTAAACAGCAGTTCCACTGACATACCAGCTATTTCCTTTGTTGAAACTTGTGCATTAATTGTATTAATATAATTAACATTATTTCTCACCTAACCCCAAGAGTTTTGAAATAGTCAGATAATCACATATACACATAGAGGCTCATTCCCCAACTATTGAGCATTATGTAGGCTAACAACTATTATTAGTTTATAATGGAATATATAACAAAATGTTATATTTTGGAAAAACACTGAAAGCAACCCAGTAATAAAAGGTAAAGCTAAGGAATGGGGAAGGTTTTGTTCCTCTTTTCACATGCCCTTTTAAATAAAATTAAGCTGCACCTCCACTTTATAGCCAAACAGGTGAACATGGCTATAAGAAACATGCCCACATCATTTGACCCTAACAAAATGCAATGCTTCTAATGCAACAAACCAATGCACCTGCATCCCTCTAGGTTGTCACAAAGAGGAAGGTCAAGATCTCTTCTTGTTGATCCCAGAGCATAGGACACAGAATAAATTATCTCTCAACAACCCAGATTCAGGCTAGGTATGAAGTTTTCTCACTGCCAGAGCAATGGAACCAGTTGCCTGGAGAAGTCACAGGCTCTCCCATGATAAAGACATTCAAGAAGAAATTTGACAGCATTCTGAATAGGATGGTGTTAATTGGTGACCTGCAAGAGCAGGAGGTTGGGCCCGATGGCCTTCCTGGCCCCTTCCAACTCTACTGTTCTATGATTCTATGACTCTATGGGCAGCAACAGCATCAAGCTCAACAACTGAAATGTGAGCAATTTTGGCTGTGCATTGCGTGTATCGTTGCTTCCCAACAATACTGTCTGCTGAAACAGAGGTAGCCAGGAAGGATGGGCCTGAGACCACTGGCCCTATAATTTCTTCTATCATGCACACTATCATTGGTCACAGCAACCATTAATCCTGCAAAGTGTTACATTAACAAAAACATTAAGTCCGTTTAGCTAGTGCTCCCTCTGCTGTTTGATTCTAGACATGTGACACACATATCACAAAATCCTGTTTCTCCAATTCCTCCACCTTACTTTCTCCTCCTCCTTTCTCTACCTGCCCCCATCCCACAACTCTTCTCTCAGTTCCCTGCTTCTTAAAACCCATTGCCTCTTTCTCACCTCTTCCCTTTCAACAATCTGGTCTTTGCTGTTCTTTCTTTAGCATCCCACCAACCTCTCTGCATATTTAGCACTCTGCAAACAGCTCACAGCCCCTCCTGTTCCTAAATAAGGCGTTATCAGGATTTACTCACTAGTAAGTGCTATGTTTCCATTTTCACTTCACTCAGCAAAACCCTAGGGGGTCTAATCATTTCTCCATTTAGGGCCAATTCACACAACTGAACTGATGTTTTATGTAGAGCTCAGCAGATGGCAAAGTGAGTCCTTTAAGTGCATGCATAGCACATCACTCAGACAACTGGCTGCTTCCAGAGAAGGCTCTTCTCATGCAACTACCCTGCTTCATTCACAGCATTTTACAAGAGGTCCAGGCAGCATCTTCACTCTATAAACTTGTAATCCACCCATGTCTTCCCACCGGTTCCATTTTCCCTCATTTCTTCCTTCCACAAAAATCAGTTATGCAGGAAAAGAGAGAATAGTTCTACAATGTTGCAATGCCTTTTAACACTTAACATTATGAGTCCTCCAGCTAGAAGAACCCTGCATATACTGGGGCTCAATATGCAATTCTGCACTTTCTCAATCTACATTTCAAAGGCACCAGCACTAGAACTGTGCCACCAAGAAATGAGCATTTTACTATCCTGGCACATTTTTTGCATACATTTGACTGTTTTCTCCCAAAGAGAATCAAAACATACTGAGACTGGAATCTTGCGATCTCTTTAGTCCATAATGAGTTGGCTAGCCTGGTGCCAACTTTAATATATTTTTGGTGCCCTGTTAAGACTGCAGTGCATTTAATTAGTTATTACTTTATACCACAGCTTTGCTAGCTGCTGATTTAAGCTATTGCAGCTTTTTATATTTGTTTGAAATTTGTTTTTAAATGTTGTATGGTAGGCTTTTTATGTTTTTTTATTGCTGCTTCTATTTCATATTGTATTTTATAGGTTGTAAACCACACAGAAAAGTTCAGCTATTGGACAGTATTAAATATATATATATATACACACACACACACATAAAAATAGGAACAACAGAAGCAGTCTAATATTGATTCAGATACTTGGTCTATCTAGCCCAGTACACCAACAGGCAGCAGCTTTCTACACTTTCAGGCAGGTTTCTCTGCAATCCTGCCAGGAGATGCTACATATTAGACCTACATCCTTCAACACACAAAGCATGTATTCTATTTCTGAGCTATGACCCTTCCCAGTTAGTATGCTCCCTAAGACAGGAAACCAAATATTGTGTATATACCCCCACCAAAAAAAAAGTAAAATAAAATCTCTCAATCATGTCAGGTGCTACCATGACAGAAACTGTGACCCTAAGGGAGACTTTAACCCAAAGGAAGTATGCAGGGAAGACCATCAAATGAGCAAAACCCATCCATGATTTCCCTGCCAAAGGGTAATCAAGAATAATTGTACCAGATTTGGGGATACAAGAAAGCATTCTCTTTGCTACATTTACCCAGAAACTAGAAATGGGCTGCAACAAACCCCAGAAACAAAACATTTGAAAAGATACTGCCAAACATAATAAAGGTTGACCTAAGAGGACCTTCCAAACAAGGGCAGTAAAGGTATAATTTATCCATACTTTCAATATTTACAGCCAAGAGAAGAACTGCTATGCATTAGTGACTATGCGTACAGAATTAGAGAACAGTGCTCACTCCTGCTTGATTAAGGCAGAGTGTAAGTAATTTTAGGGCACATGCACAAAACAGGGCAGTTAATCAAGACAAATTAACAATCATCAACTAACAACACACAACCTGAATTTTCCCACCAGGGCAGATATGTAAGTGAAGCAAAGAACTGATTAAATGTACAATAACAATGCACAGATCTAGGCAGCAAAGGTTACTCCAGTTTAATGAATCCACAAAAGTTATGCACAGGTTCCAGATTACAGCTCTGTTCCCATCATTTTTGAATGACTGTCATGTGGCTGCATGACAAGGCTCCTACGTCTTAAATGAGCTGCACCATAAGCAGAAAACAAGCAAAGATTTTTGAAGATTGGAGGCCATAATGGGGAAAGCTGCTCCTGACAAATATCCCCAGCCACTGAATCGTAACAGAAGGGAAAGGCCTTTATTAGAACCAAATAAGCAAGCACGATTTTGAGCTTGGTAATAGGGAAAGATGCACCTGACAAATATCTCAGCCACTGAAAGGTAACAGAAGGGAAAGGCCTTTATTAGAACCAAATAAGCAAGCAGGAGTTCGAGCTCGTCAACACTTCATCAGGATGAATGTTAGGCACATAACGTAATGAGGATGGAGGACTTCGATACTAATCTTTGATCTGAGTAAAAGAGGCAGCCAAGGCACAGGCGTCGTGCCAGAACGCGCCCGCCTGCGCGGGTCTGGGGGGGATCCCGCCCCGGCGTGCCCCCCGCCCGCGGCAGGCGCGGGGGTGATGCGACGCCCCCTCCCGCCGCCTCCTCCTCCGTTCAGCCTCCGAAGTGAGCGGGCGGGGCCGACGCAGCTGGAAGGGCGGGAGTCTGACGACGCTACCTTGGTGTCCACCGTAGGCCCCTCTCGGTAGCCGATTCGCTCCTTGAAGCGGCTCAAGAAGGCGGGCTCGGCCGGCTTCACGTACGAGACTTGGTTCCTTTTGCTCATGGTGGCGGCTGTCCCAGGTTAGAGAGGCGACAGGACGGCACGTCACGCTGACCACCCGCCCACTCCCACCATCTTTCCCTTCGCTTCCTAGCCCGCGTATGTCACGTGAAAGGGGCCGGCTGCCCCGCCCCTTCCATGGCCGCTCCCACGCTAGCTTCGCTGCCGCGGCGACGGCGAATATTTCCTTAGCGCCAAATTCAAAGAGTGCGCCATTTTGTGCAGAGGCTGCAGTTACTGAGGGAGACGGAGTCAGCGAGCAGGCTGGGAAGAAAAGGAAGAGGAGGACGCGGGGCGGGATAAAGGATGCCTCCGGGGACGAAGGGTAGGAGAAGCAGAGGCGGGGAGGGGGCGGGCGGCGGTCTTGTAGGTGGAAAGCCACGCAGCACCTCCGGAGACCTGCCGCCCGGCCCAACTCCCCCAGAATTTTGTCTTGAGGCGGCAGTTGGAGGCTTGAATGGTAGCCCTGTCTTGTCTTGCCTTGCATTTTAAAACCAGGTCCTGGTTCTTGTCGTGCATTTTAAAAGCAGCGAAGGTAGTGCAACTGCCCAGGTAAACGTAGTGAAGGCTAGGCTGTAAACAGACATACCGGGGTTAAGTTCTGCGGAACCCGTTGGAACTTGGATTGTATCCACACGCACAGAAAAATGGCTGTGCGGATTGTTAAAGGAGTAGATAAATCGCATGTCTGAATTCTGCCGTACTTCTTTTTTAAAGCCCCTGTGAGAAAGAAATGAGCATAGCCCGGTGCTCCCTGCAGAGTCAACAATACGATGCAGCCGCTAAAAGAGCAAATGCTATATTGCTATTTGGATCACTTCCAAAACACGAGAAGTACCTGTTCCCCTATTCTCAGCGATAGTCAAACCTCATCTAGAACACTGTCCAGTTTTGGACACCAAAGTTTAAGAAAGATGCAGAAAAATTGGAAAGGGGCCAGAAGACAACAAAGATGATGGAAGGTCTGGAAACAAAGCTCTATGAGGAGAGACAGAGAAATGGGCATGTTCAACCTCAAGAAGAGAAGACTTTGAGGGATGTGTTAGCACTCTGACAGGCTGTCACCCAGAGGAAGGACAAGATCTCTTGCTTGTCCTAGAGTGTAGGATATAGACCAATGAATTCAAGTTGCAACAAAACAGATTCAGGCTAGATATTAGATAAAATTTCCTAACTGTCAGAGTGATACTATAGTGGAACCAGTTTCCTGAGAGGTTGTGGGCCATCCCACACTAGAAGCATTCAAGATGAAACTAGACAGTCATTCAAGTGAGATAGTGTCACTCGGTGCCCCGCACTAGGAGGGGATTGGACCTGATGTCCTTCTTGGCCTCTTCCAACTCTACTGTTCTATTATGCTTCTTCCTTTGATCTTGTTCTCTATGCACAACATAGGAGAACATTAAAGAAAAATGTGATCTCTCTTTGTTCAGTGTTATGTTTATGGGTTCTGCTATTCTTCATAGAGGTATGGGTAGGAACACCTTCCAGATGGTTTGGACTATAACACTGTTTAGGCACATCTAGCAAAGCAATGATCAGGGATTGTGGGAGCTGTAGGATGTTCTGGACTTGCCTCTCCCTCTGTAGTAAACAGATTTGTGGCTGAGTAGTAGCAGGAGGGTTTTAATACCTGAAAACAAATTGACTTCTTAAAGCCTGTAGAATTCTCTCCGGAATAATAACAGCAATAGCACTATTACTGTGTTATTTTGTTTACAACCATAACTGGGTATAGTTCATCACTTTGCCATTTATAGTCCTTAAATGCCCCCTATCTCACCATGCACAACATACAGACAAAAGTTATCATATTCTTAATCGCTTCTTCTGTAAATTCATTGTGGATGAAAGGACTTGGTTCTCAGGCTTGTTGCACTAGATAAGTTATGGTGGTTTATAAGTCAAGCATGGCTCATTGTATTGATTGAGCCCAGCAGAGTGACAAAATGATAAGTCACCCCAGTTTATAAGCCACTATGGCTTATTGTGTTGTATGCACCCAGTCTGAGGCAATGGGAAGCCCTATGAGAGCAGTTATAGCTGAAGAAAAAAGCTCAGTTGATCATTGTTGCTGTTTCTGAACACTCTTGCTTCTTTTCTTGCCCACTCCCAAATTAAACCCTCAAGATTTTTTGAAATCTGTTGCATGTTGTTACAATATCCAATGAATTAGTTTTTAGGCCATCAAAATTTATGCCTTAATAAATCCATTAGTTATTATGTGCTGCATGCCTATTGTTTTTCTGCAAAAGACTACATGTCCACCCTATTGAAGTAGTATGTTCTTTTAGTAATCCCTAAACAATGCGGTCCTAGGCATACCTATTCAGAAGTATCTCTAGGATTCCAGCCTCAAGGACAGACTATACTAGACATGGCTGCACATCATACATCTTGTAAACTGCCCAGAGCATACAAGAATGGAGCGGTATATAAATATTAAAATAAATAAAAAATACCTCATGGTTTTATTTTCCAGTATTTTCTGTGTATGGGTACCAGACTTTGCCAGGTCAAAAAATCCCTGTGTCCAGCAGCTGACTGGCTCAGCTTTAAAAGGGAACAAATATTTTTGCCCCTATTACCTGCAATTTTTGTTTTTTTTCAGGTGAGTCACGTGATGTGGTGGTATCCTCTAGGTAAGATCTATTAGTTCACGTATATAAATATTATGGATTTGGTTGATGGATCAGAGATTTACAGCCTGATTCTGTTTGCCTTGAGTGTCATTTTTCTTGGTACAAAGACAGTATACAAATCAAGCAAAGAAAATTTATTTTCAAAAGCAACTAAGCTGGATTGAGTGTGACTGCCTGTTAGCTTTCAGAACAAGGCCGGATAATTATGCCCTGCTATGGTAGAAGTTACTGCTTGGCTATAACAGTTTTAGACAACTGGCATATCTGTTTAGCATATTGCTTTGCAGCTATGTTGAAAGGACATCAAGATAATAACATGTAGAAGAGAAATATATCTTGTTGTGACTGGATACTAAATCATAGTAGCTTTAAAAACAAAAGTTTACAAATGTGATGTGTGTTCTGTTAGCAGACTCTTGTATACTCATGTAGATGTTGTTTGTTTTTAGTACTGAAGGTGATGCTATTAAAGTTTATGTAAGAGTGCGTCCTCCTTCAGAAGGAACTGTGCTTGCTGATGGGGATCATGGCTTGTGTTTATCCGTTCTTTCATCAAATACAATCCGTCTTCATTCAAAGCCGGAACCTAAGATTTTCACCTTTGATGATGTGGCAGATATGGACACAACCCAGGTAATTTGTCAGACTTGCAAATATGAAAATCTTGGTGTTGGGCCTTAACCCCATTTTCTTTATTTATATTAGGAGATTGCTCACATTTTCTTGGAAATCTTCAACTGGAATTGTAAGGAGCTGTCCCTGTATATCTCTATAAAACATTACCATGCTGCCTCTTTGAGTCAGATAGGAAGAGAGGAAATTGATGGGAAATTTGATTTTTTTTTAATTGGCTGTTAGGATTATACTACACTTGATCTTAGCCAAAAGGCCGAGAAGCGATGGCTGTTATGATTAGAAAAACAACTATTCAATCTGTGTATGATGTCTCAGCCTCACAAAGTAGTACAACTTTGTGAACTCACCACCACACCATGTCACAATGTATGTAAAAACTTGTTGAGAGGTCTACCAAGATTAAAAAGGAGCTGTAAAGCAGCCATTTTTTGGATGCTAATTGTAACTAACCTTGCCTTAGTCCTGAAAGACACCATTAAAAAAAAGATTCTTAAAAAGAGGCTGCATCATCTAGCGATGCTTGGGACTGCCATTTGTCCTATTTTTCTGAGGAAAGTTGGATTCCAACTGAAATGTTGCTGCTATTTAGTGTAGATGGCTCCAGGACACGTCTAAAGCAATCTCCTTCAGGGGCAGAGAAGATACCTCCTTCTTAAGGAGTGAAACATTAGTTTAATAACCTGGATGCACCACGCAATGCTTACTAGTCCTCTAGCAATTGTTTAATATAACTAACAGAATATATTAATAGAGACTGCTGAGCCAATGGTATAGCTTTAACTTTAGAACAGTATTTTTATTTACAAAATGCGTAATATTTCAAGTTTTTAAAATAGCTAGGCATTATAAACAGATAAGGATAACATGATAAAAAATAAGCCCCATTTGCAGCTTTAAAAATGAAAGGCAGAAGGAAATAAAAGAAGATTAAAGCAAAACTGAAATGCAAGTTTAGTGGACTGGTCTGGACTATATTGTGATTTATGACATTAAGGTTATTATAACTTATATTATAAAATAGAAGTTATTCTTTAGGCACATTCTCATAATGGCTCCAAACTATTACTTGGAAGCAAATCTCATTGATTTCATTATTTCATGCATAATAACAGTTATTTCATGTCTGTGGAAGTACTGGAAGCATTCCTTAATGTCACAATATGTATATTGTTTAATGACCAAAGGCCAGAGGGTAATAATTATTTGAATGTAAGAAGTAAAGATCCTTCCTTCAGTATAAAATTTTAACAAATCATTTTGATCTTTTATGCCCAGGAATCAGTGTTCTCAAGCGTGGCAAAAAATATAGTGGAATCATGTATGAATGGCTACAATGGAACCATCTTTGCCTAGTAAGCTTTCAACCTTCCTTTATTTCTTATACATTTAAACATATCTGGTTTGAATGGTAATGGACTCATGGGAAGCTGCCTTTTATTAGGTCAGTCTGTTTGTTCATTGAGCCTATCATTGTCTACCCTAACTGGTGCAGGTCTCTAGGGCTGCAAGGTGAAAGGGTTTTCCACCTCAGCTGGCGATATCAGGGAAGGAAATTAAGGTCTCCTGCATGTGTAGATTCATGTGTTATACCATCAAGACTAGATCATATGGAATTATCCCTAGAAAAAATATAAGTTCCAATGACTGAGTAATAATTTTGTGGTGGGGGTCTTGTTTATTTGTTTTGTAGTGGACAGACTGGTTCAGGGAAAACTTTTACTATGATGGGTAAGTATCTTGCATTTAATATTTATTATTTCTTAGATTTGTTTGGAAGCTACCCAGATTTGGAATTTCACACTCTCTGATTGTACTTGTCTTATTTTAGCCAACTTGCAGTGCGATGTTTGTATTTGTCCAGTTTTTCCAAGTCTTTGGACTATTCTAATAAAATGAATTAATAAATTCTGTCATACTACATGGTCTAACCACCTAGACCATAGTGGAAAACCTGTTTCAGATAAAACTGATTGTAGGCAAGGATGTTATTGCCCTGCCTGCAGAAACTGGGCCACATCCAAAAGTGCCATCCCATTGCAGGAATGTGGCCTCATAATGTAATTGCTCAGGCCTCATTCATGTACGTATTGCCCCTCCCTTGCCCATCAAAATTATTACCTATGGATGCTTCTTTAGGAGAGTAAAAGGAGGCTCGGAGTACACTCTCTTATCTATGATTGAAGATAAGGTGTGGTCCCCTTAACCAAAGGGAGTGGAAGTCCAAGGCTGCCACTGCATTGATTGGAAATAATTAACCCTGGAAGGAACAGACATCAGGAGCTTGCAGAGGGATCTATTTCTTTTAATTATTTCCTTTACCTATTGAGAAAGCCTCCGTACTATTCCAGAAACACTGCATTCTGTTAATAAAGTAAGCTGACTTGTTTGTATGCTCCCAACAATTATCTTTTAGGACCTCCTGATTCAGATAACTTTACTCATAATTTGAGAGGAGTAATTCCACGAAGTTTCGAATACCTGTTTTTTCTAATTGAACGTGAAAAAGAAAAGGTAAAAAATTTTTACAATGAAGGTCATAGAGGTAGTTCTTAATTATAAATTAGCTGGGTTGGCTCATTAATGAAAATATCCTGCTAGTTCTTAGATGCCATTCATTATTTGAGAAGGTCTTAACTGATTGTTTGGAATTATGATAAAATCTATTATTTTAGAATCTACTATTTTATGGTAGCAAGTAACTGTATAGCATGCCACTCACCTGTGATGAATAATGTTGCACTGTAGATGATTTCTTGACTTGTTTTTTAATCTCCCAAACTATAAAATGAAAAAAGACAGAGGGGAAAAAAGAGTGTATTTGAAAAGTATACATGAAAATATTTCAGTAATTATTTCATCAGCTCCTGCAGAAGTGAATATTCAAATAAGTAGCTATTTGAAAATGTCTATGAGCCACCCTTTCAAATATTTGAACAGGTCATTAATCCCTTATGAAATAGGAGGTGACCATTTATCTTTCCGGTATTATATCAGTGAAATTTAGCTGTCAAAATAGTGCAAGAAATCCATTCATGCTGACTGTTCATTAATTTTCAAGAAGTAGAAAGATAATTTAAAAGAGCATATACATCAGAATATTTTAAAGACTATTCTTGCATAAAATTTATCTCTAATTACCTTTTCCCAGAAGAAGTTAGTACAGGACAAAACATATGTTTCGAAGAAGTATCAGGTGCACTGCAATGCTAGCAATTGTGAAATAAGAGACACCTTCTCAAAGAGATGTTGTGGCATCCAGTAGCCACAAAGTTGCTAAATAAGATGCATCCTAAAATTGATACAACAGGTATTGTTCTGGCAAAATGGGACAGTCTACTTCACTATTTCATTCCTACTTAGAACCAGGTATATCATATTTATTGTTATTGATTATTCATCAAGAACAAATATTTATGCATAGGTCACTTCGCCTGACCAACTTCAATACGTGCTCTAGCAATGATGGAGACTCTGATGCTGTAAACCTGGCAGGGCCAGATGCAGCAGCTGCAAATATTGCCATTGAAAGGAAACAGCTGTGTGCATAGCCTGTATAGTTCTGTAACAGACAGAAGAGCTATCCTTTGTATTTGTTGCTTAAAGTAGCCAGAAGAGATTTTATATATAGCAAAAATGGATTGCTTGTTGTAAACAGGAGTAAGAGAAGCACAGGAACAGAAAGGTAACAGCAACTTTAAAAATATAAAGTGAATACAGCATTAACCTGGGTAACTTAAGTATAAAAGATCAATAAACTCATGTGTTCATAAAGGATGTAATAACTTTGTAATAGTAGATAAAGCTAAAACATCAGTTTCTCTGTAACACAATGTTAATGTTTCTTATAGGCTGGTACTGGAAAAAGTTTTCTCTGTAAGTGTTCGTTTATTGAAATCTACAATGAACAAATATTTGATTTACTGGATTCAGCTTCAGCTGGCCTCTTCCTCAGGGAGCACATCACAAAAGGCGTATTCGTTGTTGGTGCTGTGGAGCAAGTGCTGACCTCAGCTGCTGAAGCTTACCAAGTATGCTCTGTTTTGATAGGTAGAGGTATATGTTCTCCTGTGCTATAATTCAGGCGAATGGGTAGGCATAAAAATGTCTTAATAAATAAATAAGTAAGTAACAATGTTATGATTTGAAAAGCTTGGCCACTGGAAATACCTTGTGCACTTTTAAATTATGTATTATATTTATAGCCTACTATTTATAGCCTACCTAAGGTGGCTTACATAATTTCTCTTTTCTCTCCATTCTATCTTCACAACAAGAAGGTGAGGTAGGTTAGGATGAGAGTCTGTTACTGGCCAAAGTCATCTAGTGACCTACATGGCCAAGCAGGGACTGGAACCGAGATCTCCCGAGCCCCAGTCTAACCTTGTAACCGCTATACCACACTGGCTTTCTAGTGTGCATACTTTATGCTCAGGGACCTTTATTTATACCTTCTCTCCTTTAGTCCCCTTTCATTGTGTTCAGATATGAGCACCTGATTGCTGAAATCCAGCAGCTTCCTAACTAATTTTTAGCGAACAAGACCCCAAAGCATTATGTTGGGTATGTGGGGCTTTTTAGATTCCCTTCTTCCAGCTGCACATATGGTTGCCTTCTCAAGTGTCAGGGCACTTTCAGCAGGCATGAGAGATTGTCTCTGGAAGGGAAAATTGGTGCACATGAAAGTATTTTGTATGCGTAAACTGGCCTTTTTGGATCTTAGCTCGTGTGTGTATATTTTTTGACATAGTAACATCAAATTAGTGTAAGATTTTCATGCTACCTAGTTGGAAGTAAACAACGAATCTAAACATGTATGAGAACTCCTTAAAAATAGGACAAAGGAAAGTTTGGAATGCCATGTTTTTATATAATTTCTGACACAGAGGTGTAGAGCATGCATAATTAAATACTGTGTCTACTTCTATGAATAAAAGAACACTTGCTAATCTGATTAGTGGTAGCATTTAGAATAACTAAGATTAGCATTATAATTGCAGTTCTGAGTTTAAGATAGTTTTTGAGTGTATTGTAAAATATATTGCATGTCTAACTCGAAGTTTTTCTCCTAACTAGGTTTTAACGATGGGCTGGAGAAATCGTCGTGTAGCATCTACCTCAATGAACAGAGAGTCCTCAAGGTCGCATGCTGTCTTCACTATCACAGTAGAATCAATGGAGAAGAACAATGAGGTTATGAACATTCGGTCCTCTCAACTCAATTTGGTGGATTTGGCTGGATCAGAGAGACAAAAAGATACTCATACTGAAGGCGTTAGGTTAAAGGTCAGTGGTGAGATCCTGCAATTTCTGTTCTGTTAAAAAGCAAATATACAGTCTGTTCATTCATTTTTATTCTTTTATTTTTAGGAGGCAGGAAACATAAACCGTTCATTAAGTTGCCTGGGCCAAGTGATCACTGCACTTGTTGATGTGGGCAATGGAAAACAGAGGCACATCTGCTACAGGGATTCCAGACTGACTTTTCTGCTACGGGTAATATATACAATTAATTTTTAGTCAGTGACTTTGAAAAGACCAATCTTTGAGTTTGTCGCCTTGAATCAGGCTGCTGGGGACTGGGACCAGAGCTGAGAGGCTTACACATCCATAGTCTCTCCCCTTCTTGCTCATTTCCCCACTCTGAGCACACCAATTATTTTCCAAAGGTTATAACACTGACCTCAGGAGAGAAAGCCACTGCAAAGCCTTCCAGAGCAGTTGAGCAGGGGTGGTAGTTATGGGGAAACCCCTGGTCTCTCAGATGCTATCTAGAGTCCATAGGACTACATTCTTGCTTGTGGTAAGTCCCCTATACATTAAAAGCTCTGGAACAGTATAGAACATGTTTGGTTCACATTTGAACCCCTGCCTCCAAAAAAGTCTATCTAGAAAAAATGTAGTACAGTATACCCCTGTGAAGTCACAGTTCAGCGTTTGCGACCTCAGTCTTTCGCAGAATATTCCTCGCTGTGTGGCGGCTTGCTCACAGGGAGATTGTTTTCTCTGCCAGAGAAAACAATCTCTGTGCACCCCCACCCATGCCTCACTGCGCACACCCCCGCTGCCTGGCCTGTGCCCCCTGCCCACACCGCCTTGGCGGCCTGTGCCCATCGCCGGCACTTTTCAACTGGCCCCCTCTTCAAAAAGTTTGAGGACCCCTATTCTAAGACTTCTGGCAATGAACCTGTATCACATTCAAAATTCGCGGTTTTTCACGATTTGTGGGTGCTCTAGGAACACAACTCCCGTGAATTTTGGGGGACTACTGTAATCAGAATTCTAAGGTTACTAGATTCTTTTACAAAGAGTTTTGTTTTACGTGTCCGAAGAATTTGTAAACTGAATTTATAAATGTGCTTAGAAAGGGCATAATGTTGTAACTCTTTTAATAACAATTACCAATGTGTAATAGTAATTACTCCACTGAAATATTCACTCAACATAGCAGTTTTAACCTAGTGCTGAAGCATCAGTTTGTTAAAAACCTATCTTCTCTCTGTAAGCTTGATACCAAATTTACAGAGAAATTCTATATTCAGAAGAAAGACCTGTTGAATAAGATCCAGATTTAACTGTAGTTGGAATAAACTCACTGAAACAACATACCTGAAGTTAGTCATGATTAAATTATGTATCATTGATTTTAGTGGCCCACCTCCAAGTAAGAATCAGTCTGGCTGCAGCTCACTGAGCTCAGTAGGACCAACTCCTGGATAAGTGGGTATTAGATTACTGGATTAATGTTTATAAAAATGACATAAATTGATAATTCTAGAGTATGCAGATTATTTCCCCAGATAATACCTACCATATTTTCTGTCCTTTGGTATTTCACATAGTTAGTAAGCAAGTGATTTCTCAGTTTTGTAAAGGCATGGGATCTTCTTACTACTTCATGTTATAGTACAGACACAGAGCTATATCCCTGCTTAGTATTGTGTTTAAAATCACCTAACCTATGTCTTAAGTGGTAAAACACCAAGGAATCTGCTATTAAGAACTGTCAATCACTAAGAACAAAACAGTTCTCTGAAGTTAGCTACTTTCAGATACATGGTATTAGCACTACTGCCATGCTTTTGAAATTTGTGATTCAAGATATGCTCTTCCATTCAGAGCGCCATATCAAGTATGTTAACAACACACTCTTCTAAAATGGATTTATTGTGTTCTCTTTCCCCTAAAAGCAAAGCCTGCAGATTATGGTTGACAGACTGAAAAAAAAAATGTGTGTAAAGTTATTTTTATGTCTTTAAACAGGATTCACTTGGAGGTAATGCCAAAACCTGTATCATAGCAAATGTTCATCCAGGATCCAGATGTTTCGGTGAAACTTTGTCCACTCTTAACTTTGCTCAGAGGGCAAAATTGATCAAAAACAAGGTATCATACCACTGAGACAGATTTTGATAATTCAGTCACCTTTTTTCTGCTCACAAATAAGTGGTTTTGTAAGCATGCTTTGCATTATTAGATTTTTTTGCCTGCAGTTATTAGCTAGTTTGAGGAAAGTGTGTGATTTTTCTGTTACCTTGCCTACACAAGCTGTATTAATATTAGCTTCTGGCTGTTCCTTGCACCTTAGTTATTAATCTCTGTAAGCCAAAAGACGAAACTAATTTTCCTAGTCACAAATACTTAATAGTGTTTGTGCAGTGCTGAACGCACTCCTGATGCATTTGAACTATTGTAACATCTGCTATTTGTTGCACTGTATTTTAAACTCTGCAACTGATTAGATATATATAATTTATATTAAACCAAAGTCTAATATCTTATTTAGGATGTTGAGCTTCAGAATTAGTATTGTCAATTGTAAACGTGTGTTAACCTGAGGGAAACCATCTGAACTACTGTGTTGCCCTAGCCATGGGCAGTAGGGGTTTTTTTAGATTTCTAGAAAGTGATATACCAATTTCAGGTTTACTAAGAAGGAGATTATTTATTATTGCAGTAATATCCAAATGCTAGCTACACTTCCATAACATCTAGCAGCAACGCCTTACTCAGTGCAGCAGGGACTTCTGCAAGGCAGGATTCCAGTCATCTGAGTTCAAATAGAAACAGCAGAATCCCCCTTGAAAGTAGTCTGAACTAGAGCACAAAGTGGCTAGCTTTTATAGATTACAAAGCTATGGTATTGTAATGCATGCATACAGCATTCAGTACAATTAAAAGATAGGATTACTAGAATAGTTTCGATACCACTATTTGCACAGGATATTCCTGTCTAGAAGGCCAAGGTTCCATCTCGGCCTAACATCAGCGCTTAGGCTCATTACTACCTCTTGCCTGCAGAAGTAATACCTGATAAAGAATATTCAAGGCTGCAGATGTGCAGTGTGCATGGTCCAATCTTAATATTGGAAAGGAAAACTCCATAGTTTCATAAAAGAGGACTGTCAAGGGAATGCTAACTAAAGCTCTGTTGTACTATTGTAAGCAACTAGACTTCAATGCCAAGCAAAGCACACATTTTAAAGAGCTAGAAACCCAGGCCTGGCTTTTTGGGGCTCAGGCCTATTACAACTGCTCTACTTGTCCATGGCCAAGTCAAGTTTCTCAGCCTAAAATAAGTCTCTGGACCAAACTTATATGTCAAGTTATTGTGAATTAGAAGAAACAAAATTGAGAGGAACAGCTCTGTGCATTTTGTCTTAACAAATTTGGATTCTACAAACCAAATATATACATATATAACTTGAAACAATTGCATACTGTCACTTCTTTTTCTAAGATACAAAACATGGGAAGGAAGCATTGGAATGGCAAAGGGCACAAGACTTAAAAGCTAAGGGGCTGAGGAAAGTTGATATTAATCATGAGCAGAGACAGTGTTCAGAGCAAATCTTATCTACCTCCCAACCCCATATTCCATTTTGTTTTTCAGTTTTTGCTTGAAATCATGAGTTTGAAACTTGACTTTTCCACAAAAAAAGAAGGATCAGTGGGAGAATGCTAAAATTTTCATTAGATTTTGTAAATATTCATAGTATATTGCTAGTACAGTATAGGCATATTTCTCAGAATTATCATTTTAAATGCAATGTCTAAAAGTGAGAGTCATGAATACTGATTTGACCTACAGTAGAATTTGCTTTATTTGATCATCTGTTGTAAGTTGTATCTTTCCATTTCTACTCAAGGCTGTAATAAATGAAGATACCCAAGGGAATGTAAGACAGTTGCAATCTGAAGTGAAAAAACTGAAAGAACAGCTTGCTTTGTTTGCTTCAGGGCAATGTTTGTGTACTGCTTCTCTTCCTACAGGTAAAATCTATCTTCTATCTGGGTGTTTCCAAAAGCTAGTTTACTTTTAAGGTGATCTGCTTGAATGTTTTTATTTGCTTGAAAATCTCAAAATATTCTTAATAAATATTTTTGTGTAGAAAAAAATCTTTACACAAATAGAATAGTATAAAAGAATACTCATTCTCTGAATACCAGTCCCATATCACTAAAGAGACAGTGTGGTGGTTAGAGTTTTGGACTGGGGCCCTGGGAAATCCCAGTTTAGTCCTTGTTCAACCATGAAGCTCAGTGGGTATCTTTGGGCTAGTCACTCTCTTTCGGCATAACCTATCTCACAGGATTGTTATTGTGTGGATAAAATGGGGCTATGTAAGTCACCTTGGTTTTCTCACAAGAGGAAAAAAAGTTGGATATGAATGCAAAGTAATAATATTAATAATTGTTGTAGCCTAAAATACTACATACTATTGAGGAAGTTATCAGCAGGCATCGGAGAAACCAAAGGTTTACCGAAATACAAAATAGCGCATTTGGAGTGGCCGGTGGGGTGGGTGGAACCCCAAAAGTCTATTTAAGACTGCACATGCTCAGTAGCCATGGAAAGCCCACTAACTGTGGGATGGGGAGGTGGAAACCTAGTGAGAATGCAACTGGGAACACCATCTTATGGCTGGTGGATCATTTGTGGCCAGCATAGGAAAAGGCAAAGTCCCTGCTGTGACCTTGGAAAAGCCCTCCAAAGTTGCAGCAGGTACTCCCTCTTCAGACCCCATCCACCCACTTCTTCTCAGCCAGCATGAATTTTTCTGTGTTGGTCAAGGCTCTGAAAATGAAGGATAGCCTTCATGAGGAGGAGGAGTGCATAAGGCACTACTGTTGTCCACTGAATCCAGGTGGTGCCTCACTCTCATCTCACAAGAAGGAGGAAAATATTTAGATAACTGAAATAGGTTGTTTTTGAGGGCAGGGGAGTGGGGAAGCAATCTTCATCTATGTGCCCCTCCTGCCCTCCATTGGATAGGAGGGCAGGAGGGGCACCTTTTGGGCCTGTAATTTGAGTTTGGAGGGTTCTGGGTGGCCTTACAGTTTTGTATCCAACTCCATTTGAATTCAGTCCATTTTGCTCAGTGGGCATAAGTTTGCAGTCTTAATAGCCAGTTCTGTGTAAAAGTAGGCATTTCTAAACCCAGTGATACTACTAAGATTGACATCTTGAGTCAGCATCTGTAGGTTTATAATGGGTTTCACATAATTCTTAGCAGAAGTGCTTGCAAACTTTTGTATATAAACAAGCACGGAATACATGAAAGATCTAAAACCTTTCTTCTGGCTGGAATTTTAATCATAATTAAATTTAAATTACATTTTCTGGAACATTCTTAACATTTAAAAAACAATATTAATGGTACAATCCTGTACATGGTTAGATCTTTTTTCTGTTTAACACTGCCATCATGCTACAGCCTACATAACTGGATGGAAGGATGCTGGTAGTTGTAGAACTTTTCTGGTTAAACATGCATCTGATTTCCTCCCTAAATATACTGATGAATAAATCTAGGGAAATGTTACCTAATGTATATATCTTATTTTACACCCCCTTTTAAGGTACCACCTCACCTGATGTGGGACATACAGATTATATGAACCGCTTCCTTGAAGCAATGCTGTTCTTAGAAAAATCTGAAAAAGAAAGAAAGGTAAGAGTATGATTTAGATTTGCATCTAGTAAGGTCAAGCTTTTGCCACTAGCATAATGTTTATCCCTATTTGAAGCAAAAAATAAAGCTTTAAAAGCTGTACTCTTTAATTAGAACAGGTATGTTTCAAACACAAATATGTAGGGAGTATAAATTCTGTATTAAAAATATGCTTTCATTTAATGACAGCTTGTGTTGATTGTATCCAGGATAGAGCTAAATGAAGATAATTTTCATCTATATGATTCTTGGTGCTATTGCTTTGTCCTAAATCTGCTGCCTTTATTTTAAGATGCTGTTAGAAAAAGTTGCCCAACTAGAAGATCTCTCAGTAAAAAAGGAGAAGTTTATTCAGTCAAATAAAATGATAGTTAAATTCAGAGAGGATCACATTACCCGTCTAGAAAAGCTACATAAAGAGGCTCGTGACACCTTTTTGCCTGAGGAACAACAGGACTTCTTCAGGGATTTGAAGGAGGAGCTAAAGATTCTCAGAGAACAGGTAATTTTCTTTTGTTTAATGTAGGGGTGCAGAAACTCTGACCCAAGATTGTAGTCCTATCCCTACAAGGCGACACCACTTTCTATTCACCAATGTGCAGTTTCTCACCTTTATGCAATTTTCCTCCATTCTACATGGTTGAAATGCCTGTCCTAAAACTTAGTTACTGGTAGTAAGAGTGTTAAGGTAAAGTATGCTGGTTTTTTTCATGCAATCTTTTTTGCCTTCAGCCCCTCTCACCACCAGAATGCAGCTCCTGAGAGCTTCTCTGAAAGGGGCTCTGCCTTCTGGATGAAATAGTTTCTTCACCCCTGGCTTAATGCCTTGTTGCTGGATCAGACAAAACTGTCAGGCCCAGGATTTTGTTTCAACAGTGACCAACAAAGGTGTATAAGCAAGAAATAGTCAATGGGACTGAAGTTAATCAAGATCAACACTGTGTATACAAACAAGCTTTTGACAATTAATAAAAGTAATCAATTTTAATAAAACTTTGTTTACCAATTTAGAAACAAATCCATCAACTTTGTTTACTACTGGAGATTTGTTTATAGACTGAATTAAGGCAATGTTGTTTACAGGTGGAGCATCATCCGCGGATTGCAAAATATGCCATGGAGAACCATATTCTCCGGGAAGAGAACAAGCAGCTTCGTTCCTTACAATCAGTGAAAAGGGCCCAGGAAATGGATGCTCAGACCATGGCAGAATTGGAAAAAATGTTCTTAGAAACCTCGCGTAGAGAGTGTAATGACAGAGGTATGGCACACATTTCTGCTGTTTCATACATTTGATTCTCATAAAGTGCTATGCTCTATTAAAATAACATTGCTTTTCTCATGAGATTATTTTTCCTCTAAAGCGCAGTGCCCACTGAATTTACTGACATTTTGTTTCCAGTCTGCTGGTTTTATGCTTGTTCCTTTGGAGTATTAAATTTAGCTAAAACATTGAACTATATTCTGATAAAACATTGTGAGTAATCCGTATGGTGACAGTGCTCATCATGACAGATTGTTTCAAATGAACACTCAAGACAGGCTGATTTCTTTCCTCGGCATCTTTTTGGAGAATTAATAGGACTTAATTGCCAACAGAAGGACATTTTATGCATTCACTGAATATAAGCCTAGAGACAGCAATTTGATACATTATGACATGATATGGCCTAGATGCTGCTTGATACATAAAATCTTCAGTCTGCCTAACTCCATCATGTGAAGTATTCCCTTTTGCGGAGGAAATGACATTGCAACTGCTTGCCAGGACTAAACAAATCCTTTTAAAGAATAAGTATTATTTTCCCTAAGAATATGCCATTGAGTATTGTGCCTGAAACTCTTCCAAGAAATATGGCAATCTCATTTAAATATATGATAACAGCAGCAAGGGTTATAATTGCAACAAAATGGAAAGCAGAAGACTGCCCAACTAGTAAAGATTGGGAAAATAAATTAGTGGAATAGGAAGTAATGGCAAAATTAACCAGCTATATAAATAGAGGACCAGCAAAAAAAGAAAGAAAGAAAGAAAGGGAAAGCTTATACATATTTTACATAACAATTGAGTGAAAAAATAAGGTTGAGCTAGATGATACATTTACTAATCAGCTATATATAGAAGACTGGTTAAAGAAATTTATGTTAAATGGAAAGCCTATTATATATCCTTTATTTAGCAAGCGAGATTGTAACTTTAAGTAGTATGTATACAATGACTGAATTAATATAATTGCTTTTATGAATTTAACTATATGATACTGTTTTATTTGGGGGGGGAAACAATTATTAATTGCTAGTGGGTTTGTGGATATAAGTCAAATTATTATTCATGTGATACCCATGTTAAAGCATTTTGGTAATAACCAAGTATTGTTAAGTCCAATTTTTAGTTATACGTAATAAAAGTAATAATTATTGACTTTCTGTGTAATTTTCCACACTTAGCACTATAGGTAATTTTTCTGTAAGGTCCCTTGGTATCTTTTTCTTTTTTTTTCATACTTTTCTTTTACCTATAAAAATAAAAAAGGAATAAGCATTATTCAAAATCTATCTTGTTCTTAATTTCAAAGAATTTACAAGACAGTTTCTACGAACTATAGTAAAAGTCATTTAAACTCTTTAACTACACAACATACAGGGACTGCAGGTGGCGCAGTGGTTTAAACCGCTGTGCTGCTGGGCTTAGGTGATCAGAAGGTCACCGGTTCAAATCTGCACAACAGAGTGAGTTCCCATTGCTCCGTCCCAGCTCCTGCCAACCTTGCAGTTCGAAAGCATGAAAATGCAAGTAGTTAAAAAGGTACCACTTCGGTGGGAAGGCAACAGCGTTCCGTGCACCTCGGTGTTTAGTCGTGCCGGCCACATGACCACGGAGACTGTCTGCGGACAAACGCTGGCTCCCTCGGCTAGAAAACGGAGATGAGCACCACCCCTAGAGTCAGGCATGACTGCACGTAACGTCAAGGGGAAACCTTTACCTTACTTTTTTACACAACATACACAATCTAGTTTTTGAGGGAAAGAATTGTGTTATAGAAGCATTCAGTTATATTAGTCCCCACCTACAATCCCAAGTGGTATAGCTTCTGTCTCACATTATTAATGAAAGTTGCTTAGCTACTTTAAGAAAATTGACAGTTTGTTGGAAGACCATCTAGCTATTTGCAGATATGTGTCCTATGTACTTTCCTCCTCCTTTGAATAAAGTAAAATATCAGGATTTAAACAAAATTTGAACCCAGTTTTTTGTGTGGGATCCCAATCAAGATACTTCCGTAATCAGATTTTCATAAGTCTGTTTGTGATACCCCTTTCTGAAGAAAAATAAATGTATTTCACTGTACTTAGAAGTTTTTACTGGTACTCAATTAAGGAAGGCATTTACCAGCCTATATTTTCAAACAATGCGTATCTTGAGAGATTTTTTAAAGTCCATTTAGAACCCTGCCTTTGTTCCTGTGGTCAGGAAAAGGTGGAGAATTTAATGCATTTTGTTCTACTTTGTCTTGGTTTGTTTTTTGATAAAACTGTAAGTGGGAGCTTGTTGGATCAGAGTACTAATAATTTCTTGAGTTCAGAAAAGCAATGTATCCATCTTTTGCTGGGAGATGTATTTCCTCATGTACTTGTTACATGTTATCAGGTGACCACTTTTGGTATATTATCTTTTAAAATCACAAAGAACATTTTTATCTATTAATTCTGTTAAACATCTGACCAAATAGCACTTTAGACTGACTTTAGTATTTTATCCATTTTATCTGATCATCAGATTTATAACTGATCTAGTCTTGTACTCATAGTTTGTTTTTACTCAGTGTGTGTATAGTTGTATTTTGTTATGACCTGTGGTCACAACAGTAAAATGTCTTTCTTTCTTACATCTAGGAAAACTGTAACATTTCTTTCAAAAATCCCAAACAGGTCAGCAGCTGGGTTCTATGGCCCTGTCAACAGATAGTAATACTGCAGCATCTATGGAAAAGCTGAAGGAACGCCTGCTTCATACACAGAGTGAACTAGCAAGTGCCAAACAAGAACATGAAGAATTCAAAGAGCTAACAAAGTACAATGAATATATGTGTCCTAATAGTCTTCAATAAAGTATCTTACCTACAAATATAAATTGCTGTTTCCAAAGGGTGACATTCTGAATCCATAACCCTTTTTGAACAGTATTGCTTCAAAGCACAAAAGTGGTGGTTCAGAAGCCTTTAAGAACATGTTTGTTTAAATGTCAAAGAATAGCTTGAGTTAATCATTTCAGAGGAAATATCTTCCTTTAATTACTTGGTTAGAAATTAGTTCAAATAATAATGCACTCATTAGAATGAATTGGCAAATTAAAAATTAACAATTTGTCTTGTACTTTCTCTGTAATGGCGCCCAAATTGTGGAATTGCTCCCCAGAGAGGTTTGCCTGGCGCTGTAACTTTATTCTTTTCAGTGCCAGGACAAAACCTTATTTTCCCAATGTTTTAAGACCTGACTGTTTTAATTGGGGTTTTATTATTAGTTGATTTTTTAGGATGCTGTGTTTTTACATTGTGTAAATACATTTTGTATTGTTAAACCGTCACAAGACTTCTGTAATGGGGCAGTCTAGAAAATTTTTAAATAAATAAATGTACAAATTAGATAGACAATTGGCCCTCTCTGTAAGGGGAACAGCTATCTCAAACGCTGTTAGCACTCATGCCCTAATGGTTGACATTTGTTAGGTTACTATTCAGAAAGGTTTTCTGCATTTAAGCGTTATAAAATTAACACCTCTGCCATAGCCTCTTGGGGCAACATGTGTAACTTAGGTTATTTAGAGGAACAATACAGTCCAGCTCCCCTAAATCAACTGGATTACTGAAATAATTTATTCTGAAGTTAACATGAAGCTTCCTTCTTTTCCAAAAGAAGAAGATATCCTAACTTATCCTGGCAGGGGCATGCACTGATTTTTAGGGATGAGTTTGTTAAGCAGTTCCCCCATGATAACAAGTAGAACCTTGAGGATGATATTCTTTTTCTTGCCCTATTGGATACAGATGGTGTAGTGTGGTTTGATTTTTTACCAGATGAGTTTTGAAAATAACATCTTATTTAATTTAGGTATTCTCACACAGTTTCAAAAATCAAATGCCACCTTTCCTGATGGAAGCTATAGGCCCTAGCTCTAACAATAGAAAGAGAGAGTTGCTTGTTTTAGGATATCTGTGCCATATCTTCTGCACCACCCTTCATCTGAGCAGAAGGAATGTCCAGTGTTTCATTCTGTTTTGCTGATGCTGACATCTGTTTTTCTATGAAATGTATTATACATTATCAATGATATTGTGGTATGTTTGTTTCTGTGTACAGAAAAAAACAGATGGAGCTGGAGTCAGAGCTTCAGTCTGTACAGACAACGAACCAACACCTTGAAAAAATTTTGGAAGCGACTAAGGCTTATAAACGCCAAGAAGTCTCTCATCTTAATAAATTGCACATAGAAACTTTAAAGGTATAAGGCTGTGATGCTGATAGTTAATCTAGATGCTGCAGTTAATCTAGATGCTGCAGATATAAAACATGCTTCAATATTGTACTAGGTTTCTTATTTGGGGATTATATGTATATACATTCATATTTGTAATATTGATAAGCTAGGTTTCCTTTAATTATATGTTCCTATTGTTGGAATATTGCATACCTTATACATAATGACTTGGATCCCAGGAAAAGGATTATGGAAAGACTTAATATTTCTTAATTATTCTTAATTAAGAAACATAGCTTGAATCCAAAAATCAGAATGCTGTAAAAAGGCTAAATAAAGAATCATGTGAACTAAGAGGGCTTGCACTAGTTTATTGAACATTTTGGACTGTTCTCTAGCAACCTTCTATGTCCTGTTCCACACTGTTCAGGAGGACCTTCCAGAGAGACTTTAGCTGCAGGAAGGGGCTGGAGAGCTGGTCATGAAGCTGGTCCTTGACTTATCTTAGAATCAAAGTTTATGAACTTGATGTTAGTTATGTAGCTATTTCCTACATACATTAATGTCTTCTTTTTAAAATCTTGTGCCTGTTGTAGAGCGTAACTACTCCGACAAGGGCTTATCAGCTAAGATCTCGACTGGTGCCACGATTAACCCCTGAAATGTTGAACCAGGAGTCTACTGATACTCAGAGTTCAAGAGAGATAATTGATGATATTTTCAATGAGCCAATGCCTCCTGAGATGAATGAACAAGCATATGAGGCTGTGGCAGAAGAGCTACAAACAGTGCAGGTAAAGTTCCAGAGAGTTATATATTTATTAGATTTATATCCCACCTTTTTTCTGTTTCAAAAAAACTGAAAGTGGTGTACACCATTCTGCTGCTCTCAATCTTATCCTCACACAGCAACCCTGTGAGGTAGATTGGGCTATGAGTCTGTGACTGGCCCAAGATCACCCAGTGGGCTCTGTGGCTGAGTGGGAATTAAGAGGCAGATCACCTGAGTTCCAGTCCTGCACTCTTAACCACTATACCAGGGCACTTCAGCTTTTAGGCAATATGAAAATTTAATAAATCAATAAAATTTATTAGTTGGAGTGCAACAATATTTGAATAAAATGCTGATGATCTACTTAGTAACAATTCCTGGGGGGATCAGGGTTGACTAAAATCTTGAAAGTAGTCCATACATTTTCTGCTTTTGAGTGTGGGGGTCAAAGTGTAGCTACTCTTAGTGTAACTGTTCATATAGTATTAATGTGTTAGGAGAATTGAGCATTGCTGCATAAATCAGATATTTCCCAAACAAGTGTATGCTGGATGGTATAAATGATGTTGGAAAAAACATATTTAGCAGCTGCTTGGTGATAATGAAACATAACTATAAATTAACAAGTTACTTCACTTTTCCTATTTGTCCTTTTGCAGGAAGAATTAAGTGCTCTTCAGATTAAACTAGATGCGGAAGAAAGTAAGGCAATAAAGCTGCAGCAGCAGGTTAATAAATTAGAGCACCATTCTTCACAAATGCAAGAGGTGAGAGAGCTATTGAATGGACTTCTGTAAGAGAAAGTAAAAAGCTAATTAGCATGCTTCCGTGTTTGCTTAAGCTTCATGCAAAAATTCAGCTTTGAACACGTTTTCTTGATGTGCACATGGTTGCTTGCAATCAGAACAGACCCAGGTGGTCTGCCTTTGTAACTTACACAATCTTGGGTCTTTATATCCATTACTGACATAAATGAATTTTTTCCCCTCCCTACTGAAGCTTTTTGCCTCAGAAAGAAGTGGCTGGCAAAATGAAAAACAAGGACTTCTTGAAAAGATAGACTCCCTTGAAAAGGAATACCAGGACACACAAATCAAAGTTGACAGTAAGTTTCTGTAGTTTAGAATTTGGTGTGGATTTAACTGACGATGTTGGTTTATTTCTCTCTGCCCTGTCTCCTTCTCAATGTGCAGCACATCTAACGCTCTAGAAAATGAAGCAAGATGACCCTCTGCCCTAAATCAAAATGAAAAAATGACTGGATTCATACAACACAACAGCTCACCATGGGTTGTTACCCACAATCAATGCTGACACATCATATAAATCCAGCATTGTTTAAGAGCAACTAGCCACATTAATCACCCATCTTGTTGTAGGGATTGTTCACCCATGATGAGCTGATGTGTTATCTGAATCCAGGCAGCTGATCCCATCTTGGGTGAAGGGAATGAGTGAATCCTTTGCCACCATTGTTGAGATTTCCTGGGCTGGGATCAGCTGTCCCACACCTGCCCAAACAGCACTTCACAACAAATGTCACTGTGCTAGTTGCCCCCTGCAATGATAGTGAGTTGTTTTTGGCAAGCCATGGCTTTTCCTCCCTTCACACTTTTTTTTCCCGAGATTGAAAAAGTTAGCTTGACAGCCAGGTTTCACAGACAACTTTGACAGCCCCTTCAAGGTGCCCAAATCAGTTGTTACACATTTTTTCACATAATGTGCACAAAAATATTTTGTTAATTTGTTTAAAATAGTGATCATAGTTGCACAACTGTGTAGAACTGCAGTTGTGTGACTGACTGCAGAAATTAGGACACCCACTTAGGCAATGTAGGGCCTGGGGGATGTACTTTGAATGTACAGCACATACTAGTCCTGGATATGTACTCAAAGAAAGTCCAGATAGGCTTTTTCTACTCTTTGCTTTCTCTTGAGAGATGCCAGAAAGCAAGCTGACAACTGTAAGCAAAGGCACAGATAATTTTTGTTTACAAAAAGGAGTTGGTGAGATTTACATGACTATCATGGTGAGATCCTTTTTTCTTTTTGCCCCAGAATTCCTCAGGTGATGCACATTTTGTACCTTTACCCAAAATTCTGGGCACTTAGCAAAATGCTAAAGTGCATCTCACCCCCTTTTCTGGTCTCTTACAAAACAGGAGTTTGCCCAGGCATGATGGGCTTCTGGCTGGGTCATAACAAAACCAACTGATATATTAAAAAGAAATTGAAAACCATTTGACAGCCCCTCCAAGGTGCTGCTTGGGTGCTTTGAATGGGGTGTCAGTGACTCCCAAAACTAAGAATGTAAAAGCAAGCTGTCACAATCTCAGAAATGATGAGCCAAAAATGGATCACAGCAGGGAGTGAGGAGACAAGTTGGTCCTGTTGTGGTATTCCCCCAGAGGTAAATGTGTTTTCTTGTACACAGTCTTACTGCACATGCTAATAGGTAGAGAATCTATTTGTGCTTGCAGAATGACAGTGGACTTAACTAGTATCATAATAAAACCATTCTTACATCAACAAATGCTTCTTGAAGTATATATTATCTTCACTATTCTAATAGAGCAAGTCGAAGCTGCTTAAATTGCTTAGGCCCAACAAAGTCAATAAAAGTAGTCCAGGAAAAGCAGGATGAATTCTTTATTTAAAGTGTTTCTGTGCTCTTAGCCTGTTCCATGGAACACAGAGCTATAATTTAATGTTGCTTTTCTTCTGTATCCCTCTTTCAGAAGGAAAGGAAAGGGATTTTTTGGAACTTTCACAGATTTTCATTTTTAAAGGAAAGCATTGTAGCAAAAGAGTTCACCTCTAATAACAACGTTTACAGCAGAGTTTTAAAAGAACATTGTTTGTGTCTTTTTAAAAATAGTATTAAAGAGTGAGGTTCACGACTTGCGAATTGTACTGCAGTCTGCAGATAAGGAACTGTCTGCTAGAAAAATGGAGTATGATGCTTTCAGAAAAAGCCAAGAGAAAGAAATAAATGAACTTTCTATCAGACATATGAATGTACAACTGCAACTTGATAATGTCAGGTATGTCATTAGCATGAACAAAAGCAGCTTAACCTTCCACATGAGAGTTTCAGAGAGTTTCAAACTCTGACTTAGGTTCACACATAGTAAGCGTTGTGAGCATTCTTACTGTCACCATGGCTTATTGTGTGACATGAATCCAGCAAAAAATATGCAACATGAAATACTTTTCTTGAACAAGCCATGCTGAGAACCTATGGCTTGTAGAAACGTTGTTAAGGATAGCTATTCTCAGTAGCTTGCTTGACATCTGAACCCAGGAGTGTAACCTCTCCCAGGCAACTAAAATACCCTTGGTGATCTTGCCAGTGCCACCTCCAGCCTCCCTCAACAGTGACCGTCCCTCCACCAGTGCTAAAATAGCAGTTCTTCACCGCCATTTTCCTGCTTCTGTTGCTTCAGGGGTATGCAGATGGGGGATATATGTTAATTTGCCAGTCATGCAGAAGAACTCAGAAATGGCTCCTATTATGTATAGCCTACAATTATAGATTTCCTTGTGTGTAATAATTGCTTCATGTAGCTGTAGGACTTATTACCCCCTACTTTGATGCTCTTCTCTCCTTTTTTGATGCTTCTGAATTGCATGAATGGGTAAGTACTTTCTCTTACCATGATTTACTGCCTGGTCCTTCACATGTGTATGCACATTAGTCCTCATGTGGTTTCATCCTGCCAGTTTCCTAGTGTGCTTTAGGGGCTCCCTTGTCAGTTCAGACGTAGAAGGACCCAAGAGGCCTGGCCTAATTTTGTCTGAAAGATACCTTGCCTGCCACAACTGATTTCCCGTGATAGTATACAGCCTCAAAAGTGTTAGATGTGTTTTAGGGCATCTTCTCACTTAGAATGGGACAATAATAACTCAGAACATTGCAAAATACATTGGAAAAATGATGGGAATAAATTGCAGCAGATAGATAGGGACCTAAAGCCTGTTACAGAAGAGATTGAAGGTGTCATTAATAATAGAAAAGTGAGGAAAGCTCCCAGAATAGATGGATTAGGAACACAGTATTATAAGGCTTTTAGAAAGTTATTGATACCAAAATTGAAATATCTTTAATAGTGTACTGGAGGGAGGGAAAATGCTGGCATCTTGGAAATATTCCTCAGGAGATTTGATTCTAAAACCTAATAAAGACTTGACAAGTTTTGGAACTTATAGACCAATATCATTAATAAACCAAGATACAAAAATTTTTACAGCAATATTTGCAAAACAACTGAATAACTTTGTGATATATATATTAAGATAGATCGAGGTGATGTTATATTAGAAAAAAGGATGATGGCTCTGACTAGAAGCGTATTAGATGTAATAAAAGTCATTATCAAAGCAAAAGAAAACCTGGTATAATAGCATTAAATATCTGCAAAGCTTTTGATTGTGTGGACTGGTCCACTATCAAGATGTTGATAGTGATATTAGGATTTGGAACATGATTTAAAGGTATAATAAACCAACTGTATTCAGAAAATTTCACAACTGTGATAGTTATTGATGGTCTAAAAAGGCAAATACATTTCAGTTGAGCTAGCAGACAAGGATGCTCTCTTTCTCTGATACTGTTTGCTTTTCTAATTATAGAACTAATAGCAAACAACATAAAAAATGATGATACTATAAAAAGTAGTGGATTTAAGAATAAAATGAAGATTAATCTATTTGTTGATGATACATTGTTAACAATTAAAGACCCACCTAAAGTTATGGATCAGATTAAAACTCATTTAGTAGAATCTGGAGAGATAATTTAGTTACAGGTTAACAGGGATAAATCTGAAACCGTCCCGAAACGCTGGTAATGAGATGGTGAATGAATGAATGAATGAATGAATGAATGAATGAATGAATGAATTGTTGGTTGCGAAGTCATGTCCGACCCATCGCGACCCCATGGACAACATTCCTCCAGGCATTTCTGTCCTCCACCATCCCCCGGAGTCCACTTAAGCTCACGCCGACTGCTTCAGTGACTCCATCTAGCCACCTCATTCTCTGCCGTCCCCTTCTTCTTTTGCCATCTATTGTTCCCAGCATTAGACTCTTCTCCAGGGAGTCCTTCCTTCTCATTAGGTGGCCAAAGTATTTGAGTTTCATCTTCAGTATCTGGCCTTCTAAAGAGCAGTCAGGGTTGATCTCCTCTAGGACTGACCGGTTTGATCGCCTTGCTGTCCAAGGGACTCACAGGAGTCTCCAAATAAATAAATAAATGTTCTTGTTTAACTGCAAGAATTAGTTTCAAATTAAAATATGTAAAAATATTGAATACCTAGGCAGAAACATTTCAAAAAATATCCAGTGTTTAAAAAAGAATAATTTTGATATATTGAAATCTGAAATAAAGGATAAAATGCTCTAATTCAGGAAAATAGGATTATCATGATTTGATAGAATGACAATATGTAAAATGAAAATCTTACCCAAGAATTTTTTTTATTCTGGATGTTGCTAATTAAGATATTAGGAAAAGAATTGGATGATTGGCAAAATAAGATTAATACATTTTGTAATGGACATAAAGTGAGGATAAGCAAGAAAAGATGGTATAAGTCACAAAAATGGGAGGATTAGGTATTCTAAATATTAAATTATATTAGTAGATCTAATAAGACATATACCAGACATTATATTACAGCCTGAAAAGATAATAAAGGCAGAAATAGAACAATTAATTGAAGGATCCCTTCTAAACCCTCTTTTAAACAGGATGGCTAGAGGACTGTAAGAAAGATAGAAAACCCTTTTCTTAAAAATATGGTTCAAATCTGGGATAAGTATAGAGAAAAGGTTATGCTGACAATTTCACCAATAATTCCAGTTATAGAAATTGGAGGATTTCCAGAAACTTTGAGGGGTAGTTTAAGAAATGTATTAAAGGAAAAACAAATTATTAGGTTAAAAGAATGGTTGGAGAAAATAGATAATAAGGAAAAATAAAGGTGCTACTAGGAAAAGAAAAACTAACGTGGTTTAATTATATGCAACTAGAACCATGGACTAAAGAATGGTTGAAGAAAAACGATACATGACAAAATCTTAACAAATTTGAAGAAATTGTTTTATATAGGGAAAAGCAGGACATTATGCAAACGAGAGGGATAACAAGTGAAATTTACTAGATATGGAGTGCCAATATGATTTTCTCAAGGTTTCATGGGAAATAGATTTAGGGAGGGACATAGGAAAGGGTGAATGGGAAAAATAATGGAGTAAGAGAATATTAAAAAGCATGTCAATTACAATTAAGGAAAAAATTATAAATTAATATGGAAATGGTTCCTGACACTGGTAAAACTACACTATATGAATTATAAATACTCCAATTTATGTTGGAGATATGATCAAAAATTGGGTACCTATTTCCATATGTGGTGGGAACGTAAAAATATTAGGAAATTTTGGATAATTGTTTTTTAAAAGTTCAGTAAGATATTGAATTCAAATATTGAAACAGAGCCTGAGATTGCATTAGTGTCTATTTTATGAAAAGAAATAGAAATGGCATATAAAAGAATTACTAATAAATAGAGTCACTACAGTAAGTTTAATAATAGCAAAGAATTGGAAGGAGAAATGTGATTTCCAAATAAGCAATGGTATAAAGAAAACTGGAATATAGCTGTTAATGATAAATTAACATGTGAAATTAAGGTGAAAAAAAGGCTGACAAATAAGAATTAGTTTAATGATTTTTGGGGATTGTTTATTGAACAGGTTGTAATAAAAAGGAAAAGTATGATATTGCAATTTTGGATGGAAAGGGGTAGTCCCAAAGAGGGGAAGCATAAAAGAAAATTCTAAGAAGAAGGATGAATATTATGTAGCCAAGGTCCTGTTGGGGGTGTGTACCAATTGTGTTTATAGACTTGCTGATATTTTTTGTATTTGTATTGATGTATTTTTGAATTGTATTTTACATGGTTAAAGAAAAAAAAGATGGAGCAATAATGATACCAAGAAGCCCCACCTATACCTTGAGTGAATTGACAACATATACATCAGAAAATGTCCCAGAATCAAGATTCATCAGCAGACAGTTTGATGTGGAAAAGATTTAAGGAAGAAAGTTGCAAACCTCTGAGTTTTGATTTCATGATGTAAAGAGATCTTAGTTTTATCCTTCAGCCTAATATGCTTTCAGGCTTTTTTCTGCCTGTTGAACGGTGAAGAAAAAATCAAGCTCTGCTTTAATGCTATAAGACAGATGTTGAACCTCAGGTTCACTGGTCTGCATGCCCTGTCCAGCCAAATCAAAATCCTCCTGGATTCCCTAGATCACCAGACCTCCTTTCCTTTGAGAACCTCTTTTTTTTTTTTTTTTTTTTTTTGGCTTTTGCAGAATTTCCTTTAAATTGAAAGGCTTGAAATGCTACTGCGAAGCCCTAGTTCTTTTCAGGAAGTGCTTTAAGGTAATATTCCTGGTATTTTGACTACACACGATTTTTCTTCAGTCTACCCACTATTCAGATACAGCCTTTGAGAGCCTCTCTGAAGTCAGGTTTAGTCCTTGGACTGAAAAGAATTCTACACCACCTAAAAATGGTTATATGATGATGTGGCTGCACCCAAAAGAGTGTGTGTGTGTTTGCTTTACATTCTTGCTCTGCCTTTTTCTGTACTTCTAGCCTCCTTTTGCTTCCATCCTAAGAAGACACACACATTTTGTTTTGAAAGTGCAAAAATGGCACCAGAGTGGGGTGGAAATGTAGTGAACAAGTTCCAGTCCTTTAAAAGTGTCCTTTAAAATTGGTGGAGGAACAGTCCCTAGTGAGGCACTGGCAATGGCACTGGTAGATCACAAAGGATGTTTCAGTAGCTTAGAACAAGCTGAATTTCTGTTGATTAACACTGCAAACTTCTTTCACTTGAAGGCTAGAATATGAGAAAATACTTGAAGGAAAAACAAGCCTGCAAGATGATTATGACAATCTCCAGGAAATACATAAATTTGAGACTGATCAGATGATACAGCAGCTTACTGATAGCAAGCAAGAAAATGAAGCACTGAAAACTGAACTTCAGGTAAGGAAGAATTTACATTTAATTATACTGGTTCATATAATGCACTGTTATGGGTTGGATCCAAAATACATCACAGTGGTGGAAAGGGCCAAAAACATGGATCTGCACCTGCTCCACAAGCTATGTGCCATATGAGCATACATGTCTGTGCACCATAAATTTTCACAGGCTCGAAGGTGAGACAGAGGAAGGTTTGCAGGCTTCTACTTGTCTTTGAACTCATAAGGAACTCCCCTTTATTTTACCATTGTCCCAGGCAGTTCACTCATGGGTGGAAATAAAGGTGAACCTTTACCCAAAAAATTAATAAATGCTAATTCTTGTCCTTCAGAATAAAATTTATCAAAGTGACTGTATCTCTGTTTCACAACACCTAAAGCATGAGAAGTTCTGTGCATATCTATTGGCATAAGTTACTAGAAAGCAAGGATGCAACTCCAAAATATGTTGAAAGCATAAATTTTAGCTGTAGGGGATTTTAGCTCTTAGTTGCCCCACTGTTTGGCTGATAGACAGCTTACCCAGCCTCACAAGCCCTGGTTTGGTCAGTCACTGATAGGGAACACAAGAGATACAGTAGCTATTTCTTCCTTTTATGCAAAGGCTCACTCTTTTAGCCATGATTGGTGCGTTTTTTGCAAAGGCGGGAAATAGGACATTATATTCTGCCTTTCTTCTTGTGGAGAAGCCAAAGTGGCTTATGTAGCTCCATGTTATCTTCACAACAGTGACAATCCTCTGAGGTAGGTTAGGCTGAGAGTGACTGGCCAAATGCGGACCAGGACCTGGATCCCCCAGGTCCCTGTCCAGCACTCCAACTGTGATACCTCACTGGCTCCCTTTCTACATATGAACTGTCTCGCTGCTCCAGCAATTTCTGCCAAAACCGGAGAACATGCTTTGGAAAGCTCTCACCATAGAACTGTCTCTGGAGGTCACCAATGTCAATGACTCACTTGATTTTAATGTTTTATTTGTTTACTGAAAATCTTAGGATATGATGTATTCAGTAAGTGTTTATAAAATTAACACAGGAATAGAAATACAGTTATACACTAAACCTTTTGACATCTACTGTATTTTAGAATGTTTTGGGCCTGTTGGAAAGTGAAAAAGAACATAATCAGAAATTAACAATGCAGTTAGAAGAAGATAAAGAACATAATTCCAAGTAAGTATTGCCTATCTGAAATCCTGTGATCGTTTGGAATTTGATAATTGCATCATTTAGTATTATTTTAACTAGTATTTAAGTCATTGCCTTTTCCATGCATAAGCATATGCATACTATATTTTTATCAAGAAGATCATTGAAATATGCCCTGCCAGGCATTCTATGTTTACCAGACTGAGTTCCTGCTATTTAATTTTTCTTTGGTCCCACCTTTTCCTGTATCAAGGATGAGGAACCTCCATTCCACAAGCATTTTCATTTGGCCTACCAGCTACCTGCCCCCAATTCCCTTGTCTTCTTTTGTCTTCTACAAAGCAGAAATCTATATGATGTTGTATGTTGGCTTCCCATTCAGTAAAAGTATTTCTTTTTTAGAAATAATAATCAATAATGGGCAACTTTCATGAATCCTGGATAATGTTGCCGTAGTTGTAACTGGTCACGACAAACCAGAGTATATGTTACTAGTGTATTGTACAAATTAGATGGACAACCTGTATGGCCATGAGGGCCACTTGTATAATTGGAATGTATACACATACCACTGGGATGGGGCCTAAATTAAAACTCATATACACAAATATACACAAACACATGTACAGTCTTTTCTCTGCTTACTGTTTCTCTTTCATACCCCATCGTAAGAAGTAGCAAATGCTAAGTAACTACAACCCACATAGCTTGGGGAGGAATTAGCCCAGTCACGGTTAAAACAAAATTGAACATAATATAAATCTGCTATTTATTCTTTGTTAGTGTGATAATTTTTATAAATGAAGATTTCTAGAAGGATTCTATCCTTTTTCTTACAGGGAGCACCTAAACACTCTTCAAATTAAGGACCTTGAGAAACAGTCCTCTGAGATGGCATCAATATGTGAACAGCAGGTACAACAGTGTACACTTTCAACTGGAACATTTTGAGACTTAGTCATGATATTTAGTCACTATATTTGCAAATCCAAGGAATCCTATATTCTTTGTCATGTTATTTTCCATCACAAATTCATGAAAGTAGATGAAGTCTAGCAGTAACTTGGATCCTCTTTCCTTTTAGGAAGCTAAGTTGTGGAAACTGGAACAAAATTTAGCTGCTGCTGAAGAAGTTATTGCTTCTCTGCAGAAAACAAACAGTGCTGATAAGGTATGTGTATAACTTACACCTTTATATAACAGAAGACTGGTTCACATGTAAAGCTTATACAAGATCTAGCACTATGCGCACGAGCATTTGCAAACCAGAATCAAAGACTTGGGTTTGCACAGTCTCCCTTTCCACACTCTTCCAGCAAAGCTAGGACAAAGATCCTTGCCATGTTTAGTTTCACTTTTCCTGATTCGAGGAAACGTATCCTTATGTATGATTCAAGAAGGCCCAGATTGATTTTACTGATTTGTTTTCACAGACTAGACGTTGCTTTAAACCAAAATTGTTCTATCAAGATAAAACTAACCCCTGAGATAAAATTAACTCTTCGGTCCAATGAACAGCTGCAGTATTTTGTAATGTGTTGGTGGGGGTTGTACATTCAGTATACAGGGAATAGAAATTACAAAAACAGAACTATTCCAGTGCTTCTGAAGCAATATCACCTCCAAAAAATGACTCAGTAAGTAATATTTTGACTCAGGAAAAATATTAAGTCATTTTCCTGCTCCATTTTGAGCTGTTGCTGTAATTAGACCCCAGTTAACTTAAACATTTGATATTCATTTCTGTAAGGGTAAATTGGATCTCTGCCAGTTTAGTTAATTAACATAATAAGAGCTTTACAAATATTTCAGATAGCTGCTGGAGTCCACATCAACCCACATTAGCTTGGGAGGGTTAACTTGCAGCATTTGTTGCTTTTCTCTTGAACAGTCATTGCCCCTTAAAGACAATATGGCTGTCTTTGTAATGCAGTACAATATCTTGATACTAGTCGATAAAAATGAATGTGTCTCTAGATTGTTGCCATAAAGAATTATATGTCTTGGAAAAATCAATCTTAACATAGTTTTACTGTTTTAGGAAGTTGTATCAGACCTAATGAGCCAGATTTTAGAGATGAGAGTGACTACTAGTCAGAAGACTGAGTGCATTGAAGGACTCACAAATGAGTTGGAAGATCTAAAAGTAAGTTCTTCCATTTTTACCGAGGCATTAGTAGAATAACAGAAGCTGCAAAGTTCTCAAGAGCATTAACAACAATGCATGTTCTAAGCAGAATCATGGTTAGCAGTCTGCATCTAAATATATAAATTGCAATACTGTTATATAGAAATCATGTTTTGTAAGATTACTTATTTTCCAGTATTTTTCAAATCAGTATTTTTATTTTGTGTTGTTTATTCTCCTGTTGTTCTAATTATGAATAATTTAGTGTAGCTTTGATATGTATCAGAATGGAAATATTCAACAGTTGATAAAAGAATGTTTCAACCATAACTTGACATTACTTGCTTTCTTAGTGTAAGTATAATTCAGCTTTGGCTGCAAAAGAAAGCAACAAAACAACAATAGAAGTTCAGGAGAGGCAAATAGAAGAGCTGAGAGAGGCCTTGGAGCGAGTACAAGTTGCTGACAAAATTGAGGTAAGACTGTTTATGTCGTCTTTTATCATTTGTATATTACTGTTTTAAAGTTGACTAACACACTGAGTGGTTTTATGAAATCCATATTTAGTGATGTAAATATAATTTAGCTAAAATATGAAATCACATACCCTTAAGTTCTGAATCTCCACACTAAATTTTATAAACAATCAAATTTCAAATTTTGATCATTTTGAATATTTCTTACCAAAGTACATAATGCAATCTTTAACCTTTCTAATTTCTACCCTAACTTAAATTGAGTTGATAGTTAAAATAGTGTTTGAGGTAGAAATGGGATATTGATGTGCTACACAATTAATCTACTTTAGAATACAATTACTTTGTCCAGAAAAGTAGTAAAAGAGTTTAAAATACTGGGTAACTTGTACCATAATACAGATTGCATTTATCTGAAAAGGGAGCTGCAGAACAGTGGAGGGCAGTGAAAGCTATGTACATATATATACATGCTTATTGTGTATATATTCTAACCATGAATGACTAGGCATTCATTATTGCTACTGTTCTTTGTTTACATAGAAAGAAATTCTTTGTGAAGAACTGCATCATACCTCTGAGCAGCTAAGCAGTTTAACACAAGCTTCTAAACATCATGTAGCACTTCTTCAGTCTGCACAAGAAGATCTAATTAAGAAAGAAGCATTAATCCAAGAGCTTGAGGAGCAGGTAAGTATGAACATTATTACCACTGAAAAATGTTGGGTGAAGAAGGAAACAAAATTTAATTATCCTGGTCTAGATTAGTTTTGTCTTGTCAGAGTAGCTGTGTCCAGACAGCATTGTGTGACCAACCTGTGGGTTCTTCAGCAGCTCCCTATCCCATCTTGCAGCATTGCTGTAAGGAGGAGACAAGAAGTTTTCTCTTCAATTTTCAGTTAACTGCAGTTGTCATGGCTGAACCCAGAAAAAAATGTAGTTCATCTTAAGCACGGCTTACTGAAACTGAGCCAACTACAAACAACAGTTTATGAAGCTGAGTTGTTTTCTATAAACCACAGTTAAGATTACTCACCAGTTAGTATTTGAACATGATAGATTGTCACCATGACATAAGTAGTAGACACAGGTGCTGGTGCTACTTGTCTTACATGACCCAAGCCTTATAGTGTTGGCCTGATAATGCATGGTTTCCATTTTCATATCAAGGCTCTGTACTTTGGTAACAGGAGCCTCGCAACTATAGCATGCACTGGCTATGACTGGAGACCAAGATGCAGCCCAGCATGCCCTGAAGGATTATGAGCTCATGCAGGAGGCTCCCACAATATGACGGAAGGCTATTATTAACTAGAAAAATAATTTTATCCCGATGCAAATGTTTGCATGCTACGGCGCTATAAAAATCCACCCTAGGCTTTGTTATCACAGAGATCTTTGCCATTGTGCTTTGCCTTTTTAATCAGTTGGCATTTTCTGTAGCTGGCCAAAAAGACAGAAGAACTGGAAAACAGAAAGAATGAATATGAATTTAAAAAGCGGCAAATGGACTGTGTTATGGAATCTGCTGTTGCAGCATTTCCACAGGTATAGTATTTCTTAGGAAATCATTTATTGTTTGTTACATGCTATTGCTTCCACAAAATGCTTGTGTGCAATTATGTCTGAATGTTGGGAGGGAGACTCTCATGCATAATAAACAGTTCTATCAGAAGCAGTATTTGTAGCTTAACAGCTAAATGAATTGAAATTGAATTGTTCATTATGGCAATTGTATTGCAACTGTTGCCTTTTCCAGCTGGTGTTGACTTTCTCATTGCTTGTCAATTCATATTTAAATGAAGTGTCCTGCTGCACAGTTTAAATGTTTCTGTGTGCTTAACAGTCTCCCAAAACGCCACCCAACTTTGACGCAAATTTGGTAAAGCTGTTAGAAACACACGAGCAGGAGATAGCAGACCAAAGAGCCTCTGCAGTTACCTTGGAACATCTTGTCTCTGAGTTAAATGAAGAAAGAGAAGTTAAAAATACTGAAATTCTAAGACTAAAGGTAAATGCTTCCAGTGTGATAATTTGTTGGCTATTTTAGTGAAGTGCTCTTTGTTGCCATTCTGACTACAGGATCTTGGTCATCTTGATGGAACTTACAAAAGGGTGGGGGAACAAACAAGGTTATTGGACAAACTGATAATAAAGGAATCAGTTTTATACTGAGTCTATCCTAGAAATATATATTTTTGTCAACCTTTTTTATTCATTTGTACTAATTTCATGAATATTTAATCAGTAGTTATGAAATAATTGTTTCAAATCAACTGGAACACATTGCCCTCTGATTTAGGCACAGTTATGTGAATTGGAAAACACCCGTCTAGAAATGCAAGTATTAATGGAAAACAACAGAAATCTTCAGAGCCAGCTTGAAGAAGCCAGAAGAGGAAGGAAGAACAGGTAAAAATCAGTGTCAAATGGTAGTACTTCATGTTAGATCTCCCTACTATATCACAATTCATGCATGCGCATCTTTACACACCTGCAAGCTATTTATCCATATCCTTGAATCTGAGCTCTTCTGTAACATAAACTGCCAAGGAATGTGGTATATCTTAAGCATAAGACATACTTCTTCCCCATTCTACCAATATTATTCTACCAAATAACAGGTAACTATCAATACAAAAGGGATGGTCCAGGAACAGAGGGAACTAAGCAATAGTGACTAGGAGATCCCAAGACCTTAAGTAGAGGGTGGGACAACCTGTGTCCATTTCAGTAGAATGCGTCAGTGAAGAATTGCAAAGGGCATTTTTTTCCTAGCTTATTAGACTTTGTTAGCTTGCATTCTTGGACAAAATAGAAATTTGATATAAGATGGCCCCATGAAGATCCAAAAGGGAGGCAAGTTGATGCTCTCTGACACCAACTTTTAGTTTCCAAAGATGCTTGCTATGTGACATTGAAGTCACACTTGAGGGAAACCAATCCACAGTCCCCATGGTCTTAGGGAATATGTCTTTTTTTGGATTCCTGCACCAACGTAATTTCACATGAGCTTAACAGACAGTCAGAGTATGTTCTCAACCTGAAACTTGCAGATGCAGTAAGTGGAATAATACTGGCTTGTCTTTACAGACCTGTGGTAATTGTACTTTGACAATCTGAAACACAGTGTATAAATGGGTTTCTTACAGTGGTTCAAAATATCCAGATATTCAAGTTCTAAGGGAGAGAGAGAAAGAAATCACTGAAGAGAGGTTGGCCAAGGTATTGTGTCTTTTAGTTTAATTAAAGTTTATATATGATTAGTGCCCTTGGGTTTGACTTTCACTGTGGGTGTAACTCATAGGAAACAGATTTTGATCTATTGTTTTAGAAGCATTTATTATGATTTGTACAGAAAAAGTAAAGAAGAACTTAATGGTTATTGGTTTAGATGAGACCTTCATTCTCACTTCTGTGCATGGGTCTGTCCACTGAATTCTTTCTTCCCTAATATCTGTAGCTGTGTTCCCCCACAATTCCCCAAAAAGCCTCAGGAGGGTGAAGAGAATTATGTGGGGAGGGGTGATTGCATATGTGAAATTGGACTAGCCACTGCCACAAGTACATGCATGCTATGTCACTGCTGTGTTTTGTACAAAAGCAACATTGATATTGATGTTCAAATAGAAGTTACTCGTTACTTCTATCACTAGTAAGTATTTTAACAACTGCAGAATTAACTGCAACCACTGGGATTAATATGCATTCTACTGGCTGCGAAGGTAAAACAAGATTATATAATACTAATACAGGTGCAAGTAATATAAACTGTAGAGTGGTGATAAGGCTGTATCTGCATAATAACTTGTATGTCAATTATAGGTTTTGTATCATCACTACTACAATTTCTAAATATCAAAATTACACAATGCTTCTACTTTCTTTTCTAGAATAAAGCATTGGAAGAAATGTTGAGAATTAGATCAGAGTAAGTTAAATATTTCTGCATATATGACTATATTAAATAACATACAGCTAAGCCAAGTCTGTATACCACTGAACACTTTATTATGTTTTAACAAGCAAGTGTTCCAAACAGAATTGATTTACTTTCTGAAACCTTTTCCTTGCTTTCAACCAGCAGATGGCAGCAGAAAACTTTAATATTTGCCACTGCTTGTTGCTTCCAAATTTTGAACAATATTTTACAAACTAAATAACTGGAAATGATTTGGAACTGAAAATTCATGTAATAATGTTTCAGCACAGAAGATTATATGCATGTTGTATTGACTGCAAAGGAATGCATCACAACTACATCAAATCATACACTTGTAGATTTTAAAGATGCCAGTAATGCCATCAGGTCCAAACCTCTGGTCCAACTCCAGGTTAAAGCATTCCAAATAGATAGCTGTCTGCACCTTGAAGGAAATTCCTGCATTTTTGAAGGAAAGTTTTTTTTTAAGTATGCTAGTAGCAACATTTGTAATTTTCCATTCAAAGATTCCCAGGGTACACTGCTACAGAAGACAGCCTGAATAGCACAGTTGCTACATAAGCAGTCAACAGAATGATTACAATATTTACAAGTGTTTCAGATCAAATGTGAGAAACTGAAATATGAAGAATTCACATTGGCAAACTACATTATTTCTTAAAATGACATTATAGCTTCTTTTGACACTTTCCCCTTCAGAAACCAAGTACAGGCAGTCCCCAGGTTATGAACATCTGAGTCACAAATAACTCATACAAATGAACTGCTTAAGTCCTATCATCACCTGGGGGGGGGGGGTGGTATCCAAAGCATCTCTATAGAGAGAGGAAGCAAAATGGTAGAGAGGGAGGACTCCAAAGCAGGCCTTTTTGATCCGCCCATCCAGAGAGGGAAACCTCTCTGGCATTTCCTTGCTGCAAAGAGGAGGTGCTGATGAGTTTGGGTTGGGGGAAGGCTAAAGATATTCACTTTTTTCCACTTTCACAGGGATCCTGTGCTCCTAATGCCTGTGAATGTGGAGGGCCAACTGTATGTGATCAGACTTGCATTCTGTTTTCTCTGTAACAGAACACATTCATAACCCATAGACTGCCTGTATACCCAACTTACATGGTGTTCTTAGTATCACTTGTGAGGAAGAGGGGTATCATAACAGGAATAATGTTATTAAGAAGAACTAGGTGAAAATAGTATGGAAGCTAATGCAGAGGCAATGTAAGAACATCAGTGGGATGTTTTCTGCTTGGAAACCCATATCTGACTTTATTTTGACTTCAATTATACTGTTCTTGCTTTTCCCCATGTGCTATATTGACAACATTACCCAAACAAAGGCAGTTTTTAATTGGTATATCTTAATTTTAACATGTTGACATATTTATCACTGTAGTCACTATTCAATTAAAGACATGCAGAATTAACAGATCATATGTTTCCACAAATACCCTGCCTATTGAGCAAACACCTTGTCTTATCTCAAGCTGAAATATAGTTAAGTGAATGTTTGCATGTATACCTCTTTTTTTCAAATCTTTTATTTTCAGAAAGTACAATAACAGGAAGAAAGTATACACACAAAAAGTAACAGGAAAGATGCTTGTATACTTCTTTGACTGGTTTTTCTACTGGAATGTATGCACTAAGAACTTAGGCAAAACAAGTAACTAGGGGCATAGTCCTACTGGGTTGCTTCCTGCTAGATGAAAACCTCTGATCTCAAATGCTTCCAAGAATCCTGTGCCTGCCAGGGTGCTGCAATGGGGCAGGAGGGATGATAGAAGCGATTTTTACCTCTCCGTCTCCCTTATAGCAGTGTTTTCCACTAGATGTACCTCTGAATCTGCCTTGGTACAGACACATTACCAAGCTTAGGCCCTGAGAGATGAAAGAAGTTGGAAATACTTGCTGTAAAAGTACAAGTGATAAATCTTCTACTGTTACACAAATTTCCATTAATGTCGCTATTGACAAACTTTTTTCACAGGTTAGAAAAAATCAAAAGTGAACTTGGAAACAAAGAGACTGCCTTTCAGGAAATTGTTCAAGAGATGGAACGAACAAGAGCTTTGGAGTCGAAAGCATTTAGTGAGAAAGAAGAATTGAGATCAAAACTGGAAGAGTTGTATGAGGAGAGGGTAAAACATGAAAAGGTGAATTTGTATGGCTTGTTGGTAGTTACATGGCTTGGGATCCAGTTGTGGTTGATGCAGAGTAGTGGTCCCAGTGTGTAGAGTTAAAACAAAAAATATAACGGGTGAAAATACATCAGGAATGCTTTAATGGAAAATATTATAAGTCCAGCTGTACAGTAGTTAGATGATCGATTACATTCAAATTTCTCTGATGCTTCCCTTAAAATACAGGAGATGTCTTCACTAAGGAAACATATGGAGTTTCTTGCTGAGGAGAATGGGAAGCTGGTTGGTCATCAAAACTTAAATCAGAGGATCCAGTACCTTGTGAAAATGAAGAAAGAGAATACTAAACTGAAAGAGGTAGGTAAGATTAGATGAAAATCAGTTTTGCTTCTGATTGAGGCTAGGGAAAACCTTTGATAAGGAATTTACTGTTTTGTTCTCTCGCTGTGCAATCCTATGCATGCATTTCATAAATAAGTTCCATTGAGTTCAGTGCCATTTATTCCCAAGTTAGTATGTATAGGAGTTCAAAATCCTTGTCAGTATAATTATTAGACCAACCAAAAGTCAATCCCCCCGCAAAAAAATGTGCAAATGTTTGAGATCTCCAGGTCTCTGCATCAGGTCAAGTATGTTGAGGGAGGGAAAGGAATGGCAGAATCAAAGTGCCTTGTTGGTAAAGTCATGTTGTTTGCATATACAGGGTCCCAAGACAGAATAGGGGAAGAGGGGCCTGCAAACATTCTCATTGGACTTTGGAAATCATGTGATAGTTTTGAAGGATCCTTCTGCTGCCCCTAGAGCTGGGACCAAAAGCAGCAGAGTGGAATGTCAGATCCTCTACTTTGCAAACATTAAATCCTGCAGTCCTCTGTTTTTCTTCCTGGGTACTGCCCACAGACTCTGTTAACTGATGGGCCCAGAGAGAAATTAGGCAGTCTTTATAGCAACAATACAGTAGGACCCAACATTGAAGGAAGAGGATTTTATACCACCAGTAGCTGAGATGTTATTCTTTTGATGTTCAATCCCTGCAAAGTATTAGGTAATGCTGAGCAAATGTCATGGTGCTTTATCAGTATAAAAACTGCCAAATTTCTCTTTGGTTCATCAGTAAAAGGAACTTGTATATCTCACTCACAATGGAAAACATGTGGTGAGAACAAAAATGGAGGATTCTGTTTCCCTTTTCTTCAGCAGGACCTTCACATGACATTCATAGCCTAATTTGAATTTCCCAGACCCTTCTTTCCTCATTGTAGGCATTGTGTCTTCCAGCGAGTCATTCCACTTTCCACCTACTTTTATAAAATCTTGCCTAATGAAGAAATCTTTCAGACTTTTTATTATCTTTTGCTTGGCCTACTAGAAGTGTTACAATGATAATATATTGGAATTTTACTTATGGTCAAAAGCTACTTTTGCTTGTTGTCTAAGCTTGTAACATTAACTAAGCTAATTTTCTTCTCATTTAACATACTCTGGTGCAGTATTTTAGATGAGAGCTGCTCCTTCCAATTAAATGAACTGTTCCGAGACTGATGTAGATTGGTTATGAGTAGGGCTGGGACAAACCCTATCAGCATCTGATCATCCAAGCACTCCTGGGCTTTCTTTTGTGCTCAGCCCAGTCTTCCAAAGCAAGCCCTTCTGAAAAGAAGTCTGCAAACATTTGAACCCCTGGTTGCACAACCAACAACCTTCAGCATCAGGTGCAGCTGCCCAAATGGCGGCTGTACTTGGCATAGGAAGGGGTGCTGCTAGCAGTCACACAGGGCTCCTTTCCCACCAAGCCCCTCTTGACCAACCTTCTTCAGTACCCAAAGAGCAGCTGTAACTTAAGGAGAGGGACACAGCTTGCACAGGCTGTGGGGCTCAGTTCCTCTCAAGTGCTCCGCAGATTGATTGATTTATTTATTTATTAAAACATTTTTATGCCGCCCCATTCGCCGAAGCCTCGGGGCAGCTTACAACACTAAGTTAAAATAATTATAATATAAATCAAAAATATAAATATTAAATTAAAAATACAAAAATACAGTATAAAATAAGCCGCCCTGGCCAGATAAAATCCAATAATATTAACAGTTAAAATGCCGCTTGAATAAAAAGGTCCTTGCCTTGCGCCGAAAAACAAATAACGACGGCACCAGGCGGACCTCTCTGGGGAGCACGTTCCATAACTTAGGCGCCACCGCAGAGAAAGCCCTCCTCCAAGTAGCCACCCTCCTAATTTCTTTCACGGAGGGTTCCCGGAGAAGGGCCTCCCCCGCCGATCTCAAGGGGCGGCTGGGCATATATGGATGCAAGCGCTGGATGGATATGGATGCAAATGCTTGGGCACTCTCTCCAGGAACTTGGACTGAGGACCACTGCAAAATGGATAGAGTCTGGGGAGCTGAGCCCAGGGGATTCAACAGATTCCCTACACATCCCTAGTTGAGAGTATTCACATAATGTAAGTAAACCTTAGTGGAACCAGAGGTTTACATTCTAGTTGAATATACTTGTTCTCTCTTTACAGGAGGTTGAATTACTTCGTGCTGAAAATGATTTCTTGAAAGAAAGATTCCAAGAACTATCATAATTATCTACATCAAGAACTAAAAGTACTAATTTTCATGATTTACACAAAGCAAAGATACATAACTCAGAATATCCTACTAGCCAAAATCCATGGTTGTTATGAAAGTATGAAATGTATTGTTGCCCCAGTTCTCATTCTTTCTTACTTGGCCCAAGGTAGCAAATCAATCCCAGTCACAACTGGTAGGTGCTGGGAATTACAACTCTGTCTCCTTAGTAGTATAACTTTTTCATTCTCTGTCTTCCCAGGAGGGTCAGGAATGTAATACTTATTTCACAATATTTATATACTGAATGTTGAAAACATTTAGCTCAAGGCTATGGATTATTTCATGTATTTTTTCAATGGTCAAACATGTTTTTCACAAATAAGTTTCTCTCATTGTGCTCTTTTTTCGCCAAATTTTGTCCCTGTAAACACAAAACAAGACCATTATCAAGTATCACTGTCGGCACACTTGTCCCACCAAGAACTGTATATTTCAACTGTATCCAGTTCATTTTGGAAAATCAAAACTTCCTTAGACTACCCTGGGCACCTGATGGTTGGCTGAAGCTTTTAGAATGGGTGCCTGGGCAAGGGAGGCTTGTTTCAGTGCAATATAATTATACTAAGTTTCTGGGATTAGTTTAGATTAGCCTTCCCAATCCTGATACTCTTCCATGGTACCTATGTCTCAAACATGGAAGGCACCAGATTGGGGAAAGTTAGTAAATATAGTACTTACTGTTAAAGCAGCTTGTTTGTTTGTTTTTATTTGGCTGGGAGTTGTTGTTCAAGACCCAGCCTCAAGGTGTAAACAGTGCTGATTTGTCTATAATAATGACAAATCAGAAAAGGTTAATAACTCCCTCTTCACTCCCTACATACTGATTCCTTCCTCCATTTCCAGGTTGCCCTAAACAGGATATCTGAATGCTGATGATGATGTAAACAGTGCTAACCTCCAAACCACAAGCTGTAGTTTTACCCAATGTATTTATCTCTCTGATTAAAGGAAAGCCTGAAATGAAGGAGGGAATTTGCATACAAGATGACATAGCATGTTTACATTATGTCTTCTGAACCAGATTGGTGCTGAATTCAAGAACTTAACTGATTAAATATTCTCCATACTTATTGACTAGGCTGAATATTTAAGGCTGGGTAGAGAGAGTTTGTAGTAAATTAGGAAGGTCTCCAACTCCCAATAATTTAACAATATTTGCTTTTAGGTCAAATTTAGAATCCCTTATCTGTACTAACTCAGATGTAGATTTGTATTTGATCATCGATGTCATCCCAGGATCTGTCAGGCTGCCCTGCAATGCTGCTATCTGGAGGGGGGAAAGAGAGCACTTGTGGTCAAAATGAAACTGTTAGTCCAGTGAAGTATGCATGAAACCACTGAAAATGGAGTTGAACCATGAAAAAACTTGTTGATATGACTGCAGAATATTATGGAGTGGGATGGGTCCCAGACACAGACTGTGAAAGCTGGTTGGAAGGACTGCCACATTTCCCCCAAGTAAGGTACAATCTCTGGATAGTGGCTATGGATTAAAATAGACCTGGCTGGATTAATGGGCATGAACATAGGTAAACAGCTGCTTCGAGGAAGCCCAAACAATTACAGGAGTCCGAGGAAGAGAAATGTAGTGCTGTCCTTGCTGCTGTCCTGAAAATAGTCTTGTCCCCAAAGGAGCTCTTTGTATTTTGAGGGAAGCCTCTGTTGTAGGGGAGCAGAAAATCACTGATTTTTAATAAGATGAGTTTTTAAAATTTAAAACAGGTTTTTAAAAATTGTTTTAGCAAACACGCCACTAAATTTCTCTTGTGTAAAAACACAGTAGCATAGTTGCAATTAAATCTCATTCACACAAGCCTACTTTTACACTTGTAAAAATGAAACTACCTAGCAGTCAAACAAGGGCATTTCAGCTTTTCACTGGATTAAGATGGCTGCATCTAGCCTTACTACTACCAGCTCTTGCTTCTTGAAAGTTATGGATTTTTTGGGGGCTCATGTGCAAATACACAGGCTAGTAAGGATGGTGGTTGTTTGCTTATCAGTTTCCTGGATTGTGGGGAGGGCTATTGTTTGTTTTGTACTAGAAATTGAAAAAACAAATTGAAGAGGGTTTTTCGTGCCAAGTAATTGCCAAATTTCGCTTTTACCTAAGTCAGACATTTTGTTTTTGTTTGCTACATGGATTTTTCTGACAGCAAGGCTGTGTCGAGACTGTGCAACAGAAGGGAGCAACACTGGAAAGAAAAGAAGAAAAAAAGATGATCTAATGCAGGGGTCCTCAGACTTGTTTAATAGGGGGCCAGTTGAAAGGTGGCTGCTACACACGTGGGCCGGAACGGGGTGGGGGAGCCTGGGTGCATGGGCCGGTGAGGCATCATCAGGTGTGCCCAAGGTGGTGTTGAGCAGCGGCTCGCTCGCTCTGAGATCTCACAGTGAGTTCAAAACCATCTCCGAGTGAGCAAGCCACTGCCTCCCATGCGGGTGAGCAGGTGGCAGCGCAGGCCAAATGAATGGGCATGGTGGGCTGGATCCGTCCCGTGGGCCGTAGTTTGAGGACCCATGGTCTAGTGTGCATCTTCCTCAGTTCCAATGAAAAGGCTGCAATCCTGTACTCACTTACCTGGCCATAACACTTCTTGAACTTAGTGGAACTTATTTTTGATAGACATAGATTAACCTCAAACAGTCATTGGCTCATGTCATAAACTTACATTGAAATATTTTAAAGACATGCACACTGTAGGTAAAAAAGAAAACCATACAGAATGTACACAGTGAGTGAAAACATGCAACCTTGCTTGTAAAAATGAAACAGTGTATATAATACTCTTCTTAGTCCTAAATTAACAGTTTAGTGGCCAGATTTGTACCAGTTGGGAAATACATGAAAATTTTAATTGGGAGTTGGATTTACATCAGTAAATTGATTTGCATTTCTTGCTTATTTAAAGTAATCCAGCCTCCCCCATTGTCCCCAGTGGAACATCCTCAAAATGCAAATACTGTAGTATATGGAGGAACTTGTTCCTCTGCAAGTGATACTGGACTACAAATCCTGGCAGCCCTAAGCAGCATAGCCAATGGTGAGGAATGATGTAAGTTGTGGTGAAAAACATCTGGAGGGCCATGTGTTGCCAAACCCTTTAGTAGTCTCAGAACTAAAAGACTGTCAACAAGATAATGGAAAATACAAATTTTGAAGGGTTTGCACCATTTTGCTTTTTATACAATTCAATATTAATTACCCATATACTTTTCTAAATTGTGTAGGGTTAGTAAAAGCTGCTGGTGCAGAGATAGCCTGATAGTGCCTATATTTGGCAGGCTAGCAAGTACCCCACCAAGAATCCATCTGTGCCCCTTTGTGCCTGTTTGGCTGAGAGAGTGAGGCTTGGTGTTGGTACTAGGGTTATTAAAACATGGGTTAGGGTGGTCTAGGTGGCACAAATGTCACCAGATAAGATAAGCCACCTTATTTTCAGGACATCTATCTTACCTACTTTAAGAAAAAGTAGAGCTGAGTGTTTTTAGGATATCTTGGTTTCAAGCTTCCTGGTCTTAAACCAACATTTAAAATTGTGCCCAGGAACTAAGGAGGAGACAAAGCAGCTCTTCCAGCACTGGGATGGTGCATTCTCTCTACCTGGTCCCATGTTACCAGAGTACTTACAACACCTTACTCCAAATTTCTGTCTCAGGTGTTATGCAGATGCTAAACTGTGGCACAACACAACCTTCTCCAGTGTAGTGCCTTCCAGATGTTTTCAACCATACTTCCCAAATGAACAGAGACTATGGAAGTTGTAGTCCAAAACCTCAGGTGGTTATCACATGTGAGGAAAAGGTGCCATGACCATCAAACGACAGATCAAGATCTATACTTTCCCAGTGCTGCATTCAGGAGGAAACTATGGTAGGAACAGTGCTCCAATTCCTTGTCTAGAAGGATACTATGTGCGTAGGTACTAAACACTGCAGGAGAATCAACATCTGTTTCCTAGCTCAAGTTACCAACCAGGGTGATCAAATCTGTTTCTGTAGCAAACAATAAATCAAGGCTTTAGAAGTTTTTCAAGAATCCCTGAAACTAGTCTTCAGGAAAGACTCAAGGTTTTGCTCAAAAACATCTGAATAGCCTGAAGGTGTGGGTGAAAAAGTGCATCTTTGGGAGATAACCAACTCATAATGAAGGTGCCACAGCTGAGGGGGGTTCTTGTTTAAGTCGCCAGTCCCCATGTATTGCCAATAGGTGAGGACACCCACAAGGTGCCCAGAAAATATCTCAAAGGCCAGGCTGGTACATCATGAGAACTGCTCCAACAAGTTCTTTGGGCCCGAGTCGTGTACTATAACATCAATACATTGAGGTAGTTTTGGAAGTGAATAGAGCACCATTATAAATATTGGGAGATGGGGGTCAGTAGAAATAAGACTTTAACTGCATGCTTCTTAATAATGGGTAGCATTCTGCACTAGGAGAATCTTCTGAATTGTCCTAAAGGGCCTCATTGTATAATTGCCTCTATATATAGAGAGTGCATTACAGTAGTCCAAACATGAGATTACTCATCAGTATCCTTAAGCTACAAAATGGTTTCAGGAGAAGTGCAATTTCATCTACAACAGGGTAAATTCCAGTTTCCAGACATGGATAACTTATGAATGGGTGGTCTCCATCTTGTCAGCATCAGCCCAGAATTTTTAAAGCAGTGTCTCATACCCTGCATAGCTCCTATAATGCCCTCTCCATGCCCACAGACCCTTCACCTACACTTATGGGTTCCAAGTACCTGGTGAAAATAAATCTATCTGCCAGCTTCCAATAACCCCATTGATGTTGCTTTGGTTTGCTAGTTGCTTTTAAGGTCTATTGCTCCTTATTCTGCTGCTTTTAAGTGATTTGTATTATTTCAATGACTTGCCTATTTTCATATTCCTTTTGCAATTTTGTGATATGTAACTTGTCACATCGTTATCAGTAAGCCGCCTTGAATTGTTTTAAAAAGCACAATGTATGAAAGCAAAACACCCACCCACCCACAGAATATTTATAACTTGGCAGACAGCCACTATATACAGTACATGTCAAAGCCTGCATCTCTTCACATCTGTGTTTCTTGGAGGTATCTGTTTCTGCCTCAGGAGATAACTGCTGTCTCCTGGGAACAGATGAGCATGGCCACTTAATGCAGAATAATAATCATCATCAAATACATCACCAAAAGGACAGAGATCTATATAAAATGTGTACATGGTAATGTACAGGTATAGATGCATATTTTAAAGTAACTATAATTTCAATAGAAATACAAAATATGTATTCCTGTGTAGTGTA